AATGTACGAGATTCTCCTGTAATCAACAATATTCAGGCAACAGAGATCAGCCAGCAAAAAAACTGTCTGTTCCACCGCTATCAAAGCGGTCTTAATTTGAAAATCTATAGCAGCGTTAAACAAATCTACTGTGGATCTAAAATCAATTCCTTTAATAAGCTCCTGCTGTAGGCGAGGCAATATCATCATGACCTTCAAATAACAAATTGACTCGACGCTGCCGATCTAAAAACATGTACACAACTACTCAATATCTGAATAAATATAAATCTGTAAAGGCGGACGACAAGAGAGTGAAAGCCCATGTGCTCTGTATAAATAAATTCTTGCGGTAAATTTGTCAATGATATTGATCTCGGCTTAAATGATTAATCTACATCACTGTCACACCAAGTCACAAGTCCAGCAAGTCACGTTAGGAGCGTAGAGTCAAACAGCCCTAACACCGAAAATAAGTTCTTTGTTGATTGACTGGATTGCAATAGGAAGCAAACTCCGCGAAAAAAATCAATACCTGCTACATAAAAGAGGATAATTATGTGTCGGCCTAATGCCGTATCACTTAATACCCTCCAGGCATCTGTAATGGACCGATATGTGACAAACGTGTAGGTTTCATGCAATTCTGACCCTAAGAGGTCAGAGGTTTCTTAGGTCAAAGTTCAGAGGTCATGTAAACCTAGCAGGCATATGTGTGTGTGTTAGTTTTACATATGTAAGTGTTGCCTATTTCCTTGTATTGTGCTTGCAGCCCTGGTGGAGGCCTATCTAGAAAAGTCTCAAGGGTGCTGCTGATCGATTTCCCTGACAAAAACTCTTGATGTTCATTGTCTTTGTGCTATAGCTACAGTATATCCTATAGAGCTGTCAGTTGGATCAGCACACCTAGCAGCAGGAGCAGTGGCAGCAGGCACTAAGGGGAGGCAACTCTTATTGAAAATGTTAAGGCAGTGCCAGGACTGCGAATGTACCACAGTAACTAAGGGGAAGCAACTCTTATTAAAAAAATTTCCAGACATGTAGCTGTGAAGTTCCAGGGGACAATATCCATATATAACCAAAATGGATCTAGTGCTGCTTATTTACCATCTTTTGTATCATGATATTGTACATTAAGATAAATCCATATGGATTCAACCTCTCACTACACAGTATTTGTGCACAGAACTATTACATGTACCCAACGGACCAAGCTTTGTTGAGACATGCTGATCCAGAGTGGCATGTATACATGCATCAGTAAAAGAGTATCAAATATCATCTTCATTCAAGTCATACAAAGGGTCAAAGGGAAGTAACTCTCATTAGGAAAGTTTCCCACCATAATCCTATTTTTTCCAACACAGACAGCTGACATATGTTACCAGTCAACATTTTTGTTTTATATGTAAATTTTCAAAATGTAACTCAATAGGTACTTCAGGCATATTGATAGTCTCAGGTTTGCATTTGTAATAGGTCATCAAAAATATCAAAGAAACTACTAAGGGAGATAATTTTGTCAACAGGAGCCCCAGGTTTACTGTTATTAGTGTTGAACGAACCATGGTCTTTTTTTCTTTCTGTGAAATGTGGAATTCAACAGCAGTGTCTGGCAGTGATAGACACTTTGGTACCATAATAACCTACATATGGTCAACACTTTTCCTTGCCTCCAATAACACATATAGCTTTACATCAAACATTCACAGGATTCTGATTTTCAGGAAGCTCTTCTAGTAAATAAGCATGCAGGGAAAAACCTTTATAAATTCATAAAATAGACTTGACAATATTCTAAAATTATATCTGTAATATCAATGTAACAACTGAATAGCTGCCACATTGTAATTTACTGTCAATATGAATGCAATCTGAGTAGCAGATAAATAATAACAACATTCTATCTTATTGTAACCAATGCTGTTCTGTTTATTTAGACCAGACTAATATTAAAACTTTAATGACAATAAAAACAATCTGACAACAGCTGAATTGCTAAGTGCTTGAAATTTATAATACAGCACAATGTAAAAATTAGATTCATAAACAAAACCTGAAGACTAATTCTGAATAAAACGCAAAGAGATTACACAATACACTGAAGCCCTCCCCAACTACAAGTAATTGAAAATTCTAAGTGTAAAGGTCATCTTTGGGTCAATGATATCAAGTATATAATTAAGAAAAGAGATATAGCGGCTGATCTTTGACTTTTTGACAACAGAGATGGCAACAAACTTAGGATTATAAGTGTCATGACACAATAAGTACCTAGGTACTTACCTAAGTGGGTCAAAATATTAAACTTACACAAATGGGGATGTTTGTGAACTGTGAAGCATTTTTCTACTTAAAGTAACACCAACTTACCAATAGATGAGGTCAGTAAATGAGATGTTTGCAGAGTTTGAATTCTATTTATAGTAAAATTATAGTACATAATGACCTAAAAGGTGAAAAGACTACAGTATATATAATACATAATGTTGTAATGCTTTCTACTTTGTCACCGACATCACTAGATCACATTGAGGAAACTGATCAAAGTCTGCTTTCCAGGTCACCAAATTTGATATTATTTCCGATAAGTGTCCTATATAGGAACCATCAAACACATATTAACATTGAAAAATGTAGATTTTGCATTCTTTTGAGTCTACCTTGGGAAATTTCTGGGCTAACTCCGATCATGTTATGTAATTCACAACTGTAGTAATGACAGCGTTTCACACTAATCAATTATTCATGAGTGACAACTACGCATAAATTACAATGGCAACAGCAAATATCAATAATCGGGGATTGAAATATCTCTCTACAGAAACCGAATAATGTATTCCTTCAACTAAATAAAAATTATTTGTAAAACTCTCACTCAACATAATATTCCATATTAACACTGAAAACTAAACATTCTTCATCCTGCACAATCAACTTTTAGCGAGTCACAATTTTTTGCTACATAAGTGCCAAGATGAATTTGTGCATTATCAATAATTGATATATAAATGCAATACAGGAACTGCAATAAGTGCAATTATAGTTCAGAGGGATACCAATTTGTGTGCAAAAAAGATAACTGCTACAATATTTTACGTTTGCAGGATATTTCCTGAGTCATATATTATCTAAACCTGTAGAAATATTTTGATCTGTATCAGCAAAATGTTTTCATCGTTAAATTATAGATTATTATGAATTATCATACATTTATGTTAGTTTAGAGTTTCATATCATCACAACAGCATAAACAGGACACAGTACCCATGAACAATGGGGCAACTGGCAGGTGGCCTTCTAATGCCATCAACTGATATGTAGTAACCTGTACACATTAGCATACCACAGCTTTCAAGACACATTATACTATCACAGGGCTAACTGGTCTCTGTGTGGCTGATGCAATGCTTGAACAATGCCCTATTTAGACACAAACACCTTCCTGCTTATTACATGAAATTTTCATCACATGAAAACATCTTTATTTAGTTATGTGCTACTGAAATAATTAAATAATCCATGTCTATCCATTTGCTGCAGCATGAGTTACATTTTGTTGACATTCACTGACTTTTTTTTTTTTTTTTTTTGTAAAACAGACAGGCATGGTAATTTTCTAACCCAGTGACCTGAATGTTTGTAATTGGTTTCCTTAAAGTCATTTCTGTCAAGTGTTTTGATCACTCTGACATGTATTCTTATATTAGGAATTCCTATCTAATTAGTATTTCTTTTGAGTAGAAATACCCTCTCTCCTTTATTCCACACATAAGCAACACAGAATTCCTAAATGTGCTTTTTTTGTTTGATGATATTTTCAGACTAAAGTGATCTTAACTTTGGTGTTAATGATGTGTTCAGTAACAACGACATTGTAAAGATTCAAATCATATAAAGGGGGTATGGTGATAATTTTATAAAATTATACTTCACACTTTGATGTCATTTCAAACATGTATATATTGTGTTGAAGTTGTTGCGCTTATGACAACACAAAAAAGTACTATGCCAACTATTTATAGAATAGGGTACCGCAGTTCAGGTACTTTAGGTCGCGAAAAATCTGCATTTGTCATCCTGATGAAGCCCAGAAGGAGTGAAACCGGTAGACGGTACTAAATAAATGAAAGAACCTGCTGTTGTCCTTGATATTTCTGACTTGTGTTAAAAAGTGAAATGGGCCTTTTCTGTTTAAAATTATCTCCAACGCTATCATGTAACACACAATCTCAAAATCAGCAGGATCATGAAAAATGTTGGAGTTAGCTGAGTATCGGACTTCACCATAACTATGTAAATGTCAATAAATTTGGCAAAGACCAGATAAACACTCCCATGTTCAATGGAATCTTTGAATCAGTTACAGATAACAAAGCTGGACTGTATATCATATTTATACAGTAAAATGAAAGTAGGATTTGTCCGAATTGAATAGGATTAATGACTTTTTCTATCAGAGGCTAAACTGAAGGTCACAATATGCTTGGCAAAGTAGCTATGTTACTTCGGATATAATGCCTTTGCATATAGACAAAAAGCACTTATTATAAGTCAATTTTTTTTTTTATTTTTGGTTCTATAGCATCATTTGATGTTTGAAATAATCCCATAAAAACAAACTTTGTCAATTATTTATGAATTCAAAGTCAAGCTGGAAAGATTGATCTCAGCTCAAGCATAATTGTGATATACAGATCTTCATTCTCACTATTTACATGAATATGCATGAGTCTGTTAAAAGCCAATATCGAGACACTGTATTCATAATTGTGTTACAGTATTTTGGCTCTTAGCAGTTACCATATTTATCTTGCAATGAGCCCAAAGTACAAAAACACAATTTGTGTGAAATTCTGTATAATGGAGGATTAGAGAGACGGGATATTGCAGGAAAATGAAACACCATTTTGTTGTTGACTGGGTTTACTGTCTACCAAATATAAGGTATGCAAAATGCAAGTATACATTGATTATGAGTATGGCTGGAGTATATTATGAGTAACATTATTAGTACTCACTGTTGTCGCCCTGCTTCATACTGCCACCAACACTTCCCTGGCTGTCAGAACTATTCTCATCCACGTTCAGCAGCTGGTTGTCATCGTCTTCATCCTGAACATGAAATATATAGAATTAGAACATACAAAATTATGTATCTACAATAGGCTTAACTCAGAAAAAGCATTCTTTACATCATTACTTCAGAATAAGATGACATATGTATGTCAAAAACCAGATCTTTGCAAAATATCTCCACTAACATATATATTTCAAAAACACTGACTCAATAATGATATTTCCTATATTTTTTATCAGTTTGCATTACATGCTGCCTATGCTGTTCAGGTTCTTTAAATATGTATGATACTACTGGCCTAATCTTACAACAGCTCTAGCTCTATATAAAATCTCAAGCTTGTCAATGACACTCAGCGGAATCAAATAAAAAAAAAAAAAACAATACCTGTTCACACTGGTTATCTGTCACTTGATCCTCAGCATTTTCATTCTGGCTAGCATTAACCCAGTTGTACTTCCTCATTTCAATTGGGACACCCATTCTCTCAAACTCTGCATACTGGTGTCCAAGACTGTTTGAGCAGGTACCGCATGCTGTGACGCATTCACCTCCATCCAAAACTAAGGCATCTGCAGGGACAGAATGCTCCTTCAGACTTGGGAAGTGAGAAATACTGAGTATTTGCATGCTCTTGCGCTTGACATTTTTAGAACACACATAACAGCCAATCATTTCAGGAACTGTATATTTCCTCAGCCAGCGGTTGTTCTCGGCTGGATTTTTCGATTCTTCCTGTTCATTCCATTGTTTCAATAGACTATGAAAGCAGATATTACAGGCCATGACGGTACCGTCCTCTGACAAGGACTCCGCTTTTGGTGCTGGATCCCTATTAGCCAAGAACGGGAAAAAAGGTACAACTTGACTACTTGCCCCTTTAGCTTCATGGCGAGTTGGATATGAACATAAAACATGCATCTTAGATATTCTTGATTTGGTACCACATAAAAAGCAGATTTTTTTAGGAATTGATGTCACTTGTTGCAGTGGATGGGGGACAGTTAAACTTTTTTGTTCCTGATTTTGCTGTTTCTTCAACTGCTCTGCTGCTGTCCAGGTGGGAGGGTCGGCGCTTGCTGGGTTAGATGTTATAGACCCAATACTTGGGGTGGCAATAGCCAAAAGTCCCTGGGAGCCAGCAGTGTTGGACTTGGACGTACTGCTCTCTAATGCAGTGGAGCTTTCTGTGATCTGAATGTTGAGTGGCTGACTGACATCGGAAGAAGATGAAGATGGACCCCCCTCCCCTTCATTTGCCTCCACTTCTTGTTTAATTTTCGGCTGTGCAACATGTCCAGCTTCTGACGTCATCTTCTTCCCAAGAAATGAGAGGGAATATTGACGTCTATAGAGAGGTGTACCTTCAGCCTCATATACTTGCCATTGCTGGTATAAGTCACCAAAACAATTTCGACATGCTAGCACTGTACCATCAGATTTTAAAGGATGTGCTCCCTGTGGCCTCTGAAGGTCTCGAATAAAAGGAAAGAAAAGTGTTCCAAGCGACTGATGACATGGTGGGATGGTGTACAAAGGCTGAATCAAGTCTTTAGGATACAGATGTCCACAGAGGTAGCAGACATGTTGAAAGGCTTGTGGAGGTTTTGTGTCCAATTCATCTCTTGGTTTTAAATTACCATTCCCTTCCATTCCAGTCAGGGGAGAAACATCATCATACAGTTTATAAGTCCTGTGTTGCATAGGGATGCCAGACATCTCGTAGGCCTGCCACTGCTGATACAGCAAGTTTTTACATCCAACACAGACTCGAACCTGGCCATTTTTGGTTAAAGCATTTGGATTATTTGCCTGAGGTAAATGTCCCAAAACCGGAAAGAAAGGCTCACTAGTTGGTTGTCGGCAGGTGCTAACAAGCTTGCTCTGATTAATGCTGCATTCTTTAGTACAAATAAAACAACAAATGTTTTTATTACTTTCAGATTCATGACTTAGTTTCACTCTACCTCCTTCTGGCATTTTCTTAGTTGTAACTGATAAATCTAATGCTCCATCTGCAAGTCCACTGCGATGTGGTGTGGCATCAACATTCCGAGAAGAATTATTGGAACCTTGATGCTGAACATGGTGTCGATTCTCTTGACTAAATGAGGGTTTACTTGCCTGTGACTGTTTGAAATTTGTTGGCATTGCAACCTGTGGCTGGGCAATATAATCAGAACTCTGCCTTCCATCCGAACGTGGTACAGTTATGGGTGAGCAATTGTCTGGACGATTCTCACCTGGAGACGTTCCTCCATCAAAGACACCAGGCTGATATTGCAAACCCATCACTTGAGCAATATATTCCCCTTGTATCCGCATCTCGGCTCCTGTGAAATGCCCATTATCTGACCTTTTCAGCCAATACAGCCTTTTGATTGCTGGAGTTCGGGATCGTTCATAAGTTTCCCATTGTTGACTCAAAAACATATAGCATACTCGACAAGAATCCACTTTTCCATCATTCTTTGGTAGGCGGCATCCCTTTGGAGGGTCATGGTTTTCAAGAAATGGGAAGTAAGGGCCCCTTTCCTGTGGTTTTATATTCAAAACAGTTTCTGCCCCTAGGCTTCCACACACAAAGCAAATTAATCGTCCTGACGGCATTGTTTATACGAGAGTATACAGGACTAAATGATCACTTGTAAACAGCATTATAGGCACGATAAACAAAACTATAGGCCTACAAAAATACAAGGCGAGTTACTCGTCAAAACAACACCACAACATTACAGTTTTCTGTCCATCATCAATCAGAATCGTCGGGGGGTATCAAACGGGATGACACTGGTAAGTAAAGACTAAAATACAAATAGAGTCCGGTATTGGAAGGAATTGGATCCAAAATCGTTAACTTACAACTTGTTGAAACTTTTTTAAGCAGAATAACACACTGGTTTGCCGTTAAAATTAACAATAACATGCATCGTAAGCTGCCATGACGCATGCGATAGTATGCATCGCAACCTATTTTTCAAACTTCCATGTGCAATGTCACATAAAAATCCTTGTAGATGCTATGTCATGTGAAACTTGGAACAATGCACCATTCTTGGAGGGAATCCCCTGTCTTCGGTCGCCATGTTGAACATCTGTCTTCCCATAATTCCATAACCGGAAAATGCCACTAAACAGCTGCGAGAAGCAATGCTAAAAATAACTCCACAGGAATTAACCTTTTTCTTTGTGTTTGGTGTGTCACGTGATCTTCCATCTGGCATACAGCGGGATATTTGATCCTTTTCTGGGGCGGGATAGGGGTATTTGTTTCTCCAAGAAGTGAAGAGCATGTGTCTTGTACACCTACTTATTCAATAATGCACATTTTTACATTGTTTTCATTGATTTTAGCAAATGAGTATTCAGAACTTCATCGCACCTAACTCTCCGCGTTATCCAATTATTCATTAGTGACATTACGATACCAACATTTCAATATTGTGATGAACAAGGTTCGAATACCGCCACTAACTTAACTTGTTACAATATGAATATATTTCTACCGTTGCAATTATATGGACTTAATATTTCTCGGTTATTTTATTCCGAGTCCCCGCCTGTACCTCAAATGTTTAGTTTGGTAACTAGAGTTACCTCCCCTACACGGTTGCTGAAGCTGATCAATACATTCGTGTTTATGATGCTGCAACGGAAATACTGTCTACCACAAGATTAGACAGAAACATGTACAGAGGTATGTATAAACATAGTGATTGTGATATATTATCGGTACTATAGTTCATGAAATCAAAATTATCTTTTGGTAAGAGTTTAATTTTTTAATTGTGACAGTATTTAAACTTGTTTTAGCCAATAAGCTAGATCGAGGTGTTCATTAGTATGTGATGTTTATAATCATATACAACAAATAATAGCTTATTATGTAATATTTGAACTAAGATTTATTTAAGGAATACATACACTGTAGTGTATGATAATCAGTAATATTTGGATTCAAATATTTTATCCCTGGGCATGTGCTTATCCCGCAGGACTCGCACAAATTTGGAGAACATTTTATATCTCCTGGTAACTGGACTCATCAAAATTTGGGAAATGATCCTGTGGACTCACCAGAATAAAAATCATACAAAGATATTCCTGTGATACAAAAAATACAGTGATACAGATGGATTTTTAAGTATAAATGATGGAGGTTAGCTTCAAATCAAAACCACATATTTAAATTTAGATATCTTATGTATGTCCAAATCTGTGATAAAAACATTCAAACTCAAATCAGCAGAGGGTTTTGAAGGCTTTCTTCTCAACTCCTATACTGATAGGATGACTATCTGACCACAGATGTAAGCTTAAGTATGAGACCTGAGTGAGTGTAGAATGTTATGTCATGTCTTGGCACAAGAATTGGGACATTTTTAGATGTAAAATAATAGTAAAACAACTAAAATATATGTAATTGTATATAATTACCAGTTATTTTTTGTAAGACTATTAACAGTGAGTCCAGAGCACCATTTTCAAAGTTTTGATGAGTTTATTAACATGTAATAGGTTCTAAAAATTTTGAAATCATCTCATACCATTGACCAGATGCCAAAGCTTGTTCTGAGGAAACCTCTGCCACTTTTTTGTGCCTTCAAGTCAACAGAAGACATTTTACTGGTCATTCAAAGTGAAATTACTTTTTGTGTAAAGATCTGTATAAACATTACACTGACTAATGTGAACATTGATGTTCCACTCTGAGCCTATTGGAAGTGGAGAATGGGGTTTGCCTTGCCTAGTGTTTTGAGGTCTGCCAGATCTGACATGATTGTTGCATTTGATAAAAATTTTCATACTTAAATCACTGGTCCCTAATTTATGACCAAGCATATATTAGCATAATAACTGTTGTTTCATGTGCAGTATGTCTGTGGTCATAGTGAACTCAGATCTCAAGGGACAGAGATGACCATCCGATGTTGTCTCTGTCTTGGATTCTGCACATATAGATCTTTATTTAACAGAGGCCCTGTGGTCTCAATTTAGTGAAAAAATTTTATAATTTTTTAGAATGTGCATATTTATAACAGGACGCATTGATCTCTTGTCGGAGACTCTACTGCATTAGTGATTGATTTACAATAGATGATGAGTGTCCTTGAGGCGACGGATCAGCTGTGCCCAGACCAGTTACTTGCGCAGACAGCTGACGTAATTACTGAAGGTGTCATAAAGGTAGATAGAGCAAATGTTGTGGAACTTGAGGAAAATTGTCATGAATTCATTTCCGTAATCCTGACTCGCACTGAATAGCGGAGCCCTCATGAATTATAATTATGATAAAAAAAATTTGGAAATAACCATGGTATTGATTAAATTTGTATTCCAGAAATTAGGTTTTCATTATTTTAAACTGCAGGAGAAAAATGTGTATTATACAACAGAATATTTTACAAAATTTATGATTTTATATATTACATTTTATAATAGGAATAAATGTGAAAAAACATGATTTTGATAATTACGCTTTAGAAGAAGTTTGGAAGGAACTAGAAGTTGCCTCATCACCCTTCTTTCTCTTATACCTAATCAACGTTTTGTCTCTCACCATACATCTCTTGGCAACATGTTTTCTTTCAGCTCAAATGTTTATTACGAAAGGTTTTTATTTCTAGTATCCAGCATTGTACCATCGTGTGGTGGATGCTTTATCTCTTCGACCGAAATCTCACAAAGAGGCTGCACAGATTATCTACATTCTCCGTAACTATGGATACAACATTAACCACACCAATGAGGTACTCCGTCTTATTTACAACTGACAGCATATGGGTATTATCCAATAATTTATCATATATTTCTCAAGCAATAAGCCCATGTCTGGTAATAAGCCCATCCTAACCTAGTGCAGTGTCTATGGAAATGCAAACAATTGTTATTTGATAGCCGTGTACATAATAAGCTTGTGTACAACTCCATCTTGGAAGTTTTGTTCAGGATTTTGCTTTGCTTTACTAATGCTTTCCTGTACATCTTACAAAATGTTTGCGAAAATTGTGTCCATAATTAACCTTTTGATTATTGTGAATCTTGCAATGAACTATTTTTGATACTGTTCCTGGAGGAGTTGCTGCCATACCCCAGACGGTTAGAGCATCGTATATATCCTCCAAAAAAAATCAGTCTGCGCTGTCACGGTTGACACGTTACCGTTATTGCTGTGGATGGCCTCCTGTATGTTGTTCATTGAGGTGGCCACCACTACGTTAAGAAGACCTCCTTCCAGTTGTCTCATAAATTTTCATTTCTAATTTTTTGATGTGCCCCGATTATTTCTTCTAGAGCATATAGTCGCGGCTTTGTTAGTCCATCCATCTATCTGTCTTACCCTCTGTCCTTGCATGTCCAAAGGGTCACTTTATCCACAGTTTAGCAAGGATAATGAAATCTGGTGTATGCATTGGTAATGCTAAGACGATATGCAGTGTTTCAAGTTCAGTGCCTCAAAACCCAGAATTATTGTTTTTGTTGAAATTTTGTGTCCTATAAAATAATTTCAAAGGAGCATTTATCAGTATCAATGTTTTGTAGATTTCCTGATAATATCTTGAGACATTGTCTATGATGAACCGTTTGTCTTTGACCAGTTTGTTAAAAACAGGATAATGTACATTGTCAGTTTCATGTCCTCATCAGTAATGCATATTTTTGATGAATTTCCGCAGACTGGGACAACCCCTTTACTGCAGTATATACAGTCATGTGACCTAGTTGAGGATGATGTGGTGGAAGCCATGCTGAGATGTAATGCTGAGGTTTTCATTAAAAATGAGGTAATTTAAAAATTAGCATATTTAGATATTCTGTAGTCTGTATCATTATTCATAGTCACAGATTAAGTTAACAGATTTCAACATTGTTCATATCTTTTCATAGATAAAAAATATTCATCTTGTTCTTTAATCGTCTATGTCATTTTGTTACATAATTTCTTTGTTTTTCACTAAATATACAAATGTGATATTTTTTGTGTATAACATGTGTATGATAGGTAGTTGTGACTTTACTTCAGATAATGAATTAACATTACACACTCACAGATTGATTGTCACACAATCATGAAGATCATAGATACAGAGCTGACAGGACTTAAAGTCCAACATGAAAATATCTGCAACATTTACCAGAATAATCCAACATGTGATAAAAATTATCTTGAATTTTTATTTGACATATAATTTATGAAACTCATCATAAATTTCATATTTTAAAAATTTAGATTCGTTTCATAAATCACGTATAAAATTGAATCGGTGTAAGATTCTACATATAATAAACTCTTTTATCAGGGATAATATGGCATCTCACAAACTTACCAAAAACACAATGTGAAAATTGTGTTTTCTTTTATATAAAAACCTGGTGTTCTATTTTTTACATTCCTTTTGAACAGAACAATACGTGTGCTTTTGACGAGGCCAGAAAGCCACATGTAGCACGGTCAATCAAAGCACTGTTTGCTAGATATATGGTATGTATACAGACCCTTACTAGGAAGTCTGGTCATCTCTTAGACTAAATTTCCTATCTTGTACCATGCTGTCTTGCTTCTTTAACCCTCTTGAGGTCAACTTTTTGTCAGCCAAATCATTCAGCCAGGAATATAGATTCAAATACTATGATAGACTCATTACTTTTGACCATGGGTATTAAAAATTTAAAAAACCATCTTTTTCTAGAAAAGTAAGCAATATCTTGTTTTAACGTATCTATAAATATCTTTATAAAATATATATGTATTTCATATTTAATTACCATACTAAACAATGATTATAAGGTCTGTTTACGTAATAACCTTCACATCCTTTATTGTGTGATGGCCAAATTCTTGGTTACAGTTGGTTGATGACTTGTTTCAAATTAGTGTCTGTCTAAAATAAGTGTCTTTCAAAAGTGATAACGAAATACACCTTCGTTTATTGAATATAACAGCATCTTTAAGATTAATGTTTTTTTCTGTTATTTCAAACTGTCCAATGTTTGCATTGTCACTGTAGCCTGGGATTTGGAGGGCAGTAGCAGTTGATGATGTTCATCAAGTACGTTTCCTGGTCAACCAATGGTGCCGTGTTGATGTTGAACAGGTCAGTTTGAGAAAAACACAATGAGCATAGCTCTGTATTACAAACTGGACTGGAACTTCTGTATCGTTTGTAAAACAAATTTGATATTAGATACATGTAAAATGGGAGCAACCACAACTCATTCCACAGTGGATTTGACTTCACAACTTCTGGTGACAATCCAATGTGTGTGGTTCAATCTCTACCCAGAAGGATTTGTGTTTCTCAAGTGAAGATTTGAGATATGTGGTTCAATTCCTACCCAGAATGTTTTGTGTTTGCCAGGTGAAGATCTGAGGTGTGTTAATCAATTCCTACAAGGAGGGTTAATGTTTCTCAGGTGAAGATCTGAAGTGTGTGGTTTGGTTCCTTCCAGAATGGTTAGTGTTTTTCCTGATAGATGGACCATCTTATTCTGTCATGATTGTTGTCTTTGGATGTGAGACTTTATCCTGATAGCTTTGAACAGCCTGCAGAGGGCCTCCCATATGATGTTCTGTGAGGTAGCCTTAGCTAACGGCTAAATTCCCTGTCGCAAAATGACATCACTGCAGCTGTTCATGGAATGGAATGTGTAAAGTTAAAAAACTGCATGACCAAGAATCAAGGTATTGAGTATTTGGTCTGTACTTTGCAACTGACAAGCCTTTATGAAAGTTCTACAGAATCTTTATGTACATGATCCAAACTTAATGAAGTGATCTGCTTATTCTTTGGAATTATGCCCTTTTGTAATAGTATATATATGTCATATAGGTATTGTTCTGGTTACTTCTACTAAATATTTCAACCAATTCTTATAAAATACTGTGTATATTATCAGTATCAGCAATATTTGTGTTTATTATTGATTTCATGTCCACTCATACTTCAGATGGTTAGCTGTTTAAATCACGCTTTGTCCATGATATATCATCCATCTATAAACTAGTCTTTTTATCACTATTTCTAGAGAAATACTTTGGCCATTTTGGATTCTGACAGCTGTAGATTGTTCATTATTTCTTAGGGACTTTTCTTAGAATTGAAGTGCCTGTATGATTTTCCAACAGATCAGAGTTGTAAAGGGGTCAGACCGTCTATATCACTTTAGCCCTCTTGGTCATGGGTATGAGACTTATGTGAAGCAAGGTACTGGCCACAGGTGGGTGATTTTTCTCCAGAAACTCTGACTTAATAGGGTACAAAGCAACAAGAAACCAATAAATGGGTGACAGATCAGAAAGAAGATCAGACTGATAAAGATTGAATAAAGAAGAAATGAATGGAGACACAATAAATTCATTTAAAACTGTTACCTGTTTCAGCAAAACAAGAGCTTGCTACACCTAACGTTGGAAGTGGGAACAGAAAACGTCATTGGAATTATCAGTGGAATCCATACCTCTATGGTAAGTCTAAAAAGTATTTTATACATGTCGAATGAATTTGGCATTTTTGCTAGTATAAACATTTAGGAAAAGGAATTCATATCCATCAATGTATTTTGTTTGACCTAGATGACTTTAGAATCAAATTGTTGAAATCATGTACCAGGTAATGACAGCACTACTCTTGGTTTTAAGCTGAAATCATTCAGATCTTTTTTTTTATCAATGAAATGAATTTAACATGTCTGACTGATACATTTCTACGTAAACTTTATCATGTCCTTGACCTTTCACCTTTGGAAGGCCCTGGCACACGGAGTACTGGCTGGAGATTTGAAGTATGTGGAGAATTTGGTGAGAGAAGAAAAGTCCATTAATGTAAACTTGAAAAATCTGGTGAGTTGTCTCCCTTCATCCACTGGTAATCCACAGGGTACATACCACTATTTTGTGACTTTAACTGATAATATTTAATAATTTAATAATGTAACAAAGCCATTCAAATGCTTGCACTACATTTCAAATCTAAACTGGCTTGTGCTGGTATATTGCAGGCAAAAGTAGAAGAATAAACATTTTAAAAAAAAGAAGAGGGAATGGTTTGGGGGGGGGAGAAAAAGTTTAAAAAGTGAAAAAGTGGTCATGATATGGACACTAGAAATAAAGATACAGGGAAGTATATTTGGCATTGCTGATAGTTTTGAACATCCTTATCATTGTTTAGTGGAAATTCCTTTCAGTGCAGTAGGCAAAGCATTTGAAAGTTGTTCAAAACTTCAGCCTTACTGCAGAATAGCTTAATTGATAAAGGACTGACTTAGGAATTTGCCATTTAGGTATCCAGGCACTTAAAACAACAGATTATATTTGTATGCAACCTGTTTCCTATTTCAGGGTGATGGAGGGACAACCCCACTGTATTATGCTGCTCTTCAAAATAACACAGAGATCATCAAACTATTGTTATCAATGGGAGCTCGGGTACACTGTACTATGACAACAAAGGACAAGGTAGAGTTAACACAACTGACTTTATTTCTTAATGATATCAATGATGGAACAATATCTACTGTATTTATTCACAAATAAGCCCCTGCCCTCTTATAAGCCCCGTTCAGCTTTGCAGAGTCATAAATTTTGAAATAGCAAGCTAAAAGTGGTTTACAAACGAGCCCTCTACAAACTTTAATACTAAACTTTTACACAAGGGGATGGTGGGGGGCTTATTTGAGGAAAAAATACATTAGTACAACCTATCTTTTCATATCATGTCGTCTAAATGTTACAGTACAGATACACAAAATTCAGGTTTGTAGGACGTGTATCATTTGAGTGATAGAGGTGGACACCTTTGAAAAAGACTAATTTCTTGTTATGGTTGTAGACAGATCTACCCCTATTGTTTGCTTTGATGTTGGAATACCCACAAGTCCATGCTTCCACACTCCAGCTACTGATTCCACAGACCCCCGTCCACGTGGAGACGCTACACTACAAGGTGAGGACAAAGTCCATCAGTTTCAAAAATGATTTTTCATATCGAAATTTATTTTTTTTAAATTTTTTGTAATTTTAATTTTTTTCAGGGTAAGAACATTCTTTTCCACTGTGTTAACTGTGATATGGATTCATCTGTGGTGTCGGCCATCTTGAATGTGTCATCTGCTGCCATGGTTACAGCAAGAGAGGAGAGTGGGCTTACACCTAGAGAATATGCAGTAAAAGAAGGATGTGATGCAGTTGTAGAGATCATTGACGAGGTGAGGGGTCAAAGTTCCATATGTTCAGGAAGTAATGACTATCAAGGTCAAGGTAAATTGTGTTCAGCGTGTAAAACACTCAGAATAATTTCCTGAGCCATTTTAACTGAGTATAGTGAAAATTCTTTCTTTTGAAAAGCAGACCATTTCTTTCCTTTTGCCATTGTTTGGAAATTTTGTAAGTTGAAGTTTGATTATTGTGATAGCAGACATTGTTTTTATTTATAATGTGCAAGATGACACGTACCAAAAACAAAGAAAGTGGAAGAGCAGGGTTTCGAAAATGTTTGAAATTTTACTTGTGAAAAAGCCAAATGAAACTGAAAATTAAATTTCAGAATTTGTGATCAGAACGTAACTAGATCTGAAATTTAATTTCAGCAAAACTTTTTTGGTAAATTGATAGGTCATTAAATATCTAGGGAAATAAATGAAAGATAAAAGCATGTTTAAAAAGATAAAATGATGCGTTGTTTTGTGTATGTGACACCTCCAAATCTTTCTGACTGGTCTATAAGAATTATAAAAAAAAGGAAGAAGAAAAAAATAGCTGAAGAGTTGACATTCATATTGCTACAATGTATTTATTTTTTTGCAGTTTGTGTATAAATGGTGGACAGACAAAGAAAGTGACAAAAATAAAAAAATGTTGGCCCTTCACAGTTACCATCCTATCCCAATAATGAAAAAGGTAATAATTTTCAAAGTAATGTCCAATGAGTGAAAACAATGAAAATTTCATTGAATCTTCCATCTGGAGAAACTTACAACTAATGGTTATCTAAAATGTGATTAGTGACAGTTTTTACCCCACAACCCAAAAGGGTGTGGGGTATTGTGATCATGCACGGCGTCCGTCCGTCTGTCCTGCCGTCTGTCCGTCCATTATCTCAAGAACAACATTACCGGCGATCACCATTTTTGCTTGGCATGTTGGGTCTATGGACCTACACAACCCTATTGTCTTTTCTTGTTGCCCGATATCCAATATGGCGGTTACAGCCGCCATCTTGAATTTGCATTCCGCTCATTATCTGAAGAAAGACATTACTGGCGATCACCATTTTCGTTGGGCATGTTGGGTCTATGGACCAACACAACCCTGTTGTTTTTCGTCGTCGCCCGATGTCCAATATGGCGGTTACGGCCACCATCTTTAATTTGCATTCTGCTCATTATCTCAAGAATGACATCACCGGCGATCACCATTTCGCTGGGCATATTGGGTCTATAGACCTACACAACCCTATTATTTTTCGTCGTCGCCCAATATCAAATATGGCGGTTACGGCCTCCATCTTGAATTTGCATTCTGCTCATTATCTCAAGAACGACATCACCGGCTATCACCATTTTCGCTGGGCATGTTGGGCCTATGGACCTACACAACCTATTGAGGTTCTTCACAGTCTCAGCCCTGCACCCAACTTTATAAGAAGGCTGTGGTGTATTACCCGCGTTTGTGGAGATATTTTTAGTTTTTGGATATGGTGAGATCAAGTTCTCATTTTGCACTCATCTCAGTAGATGAAATGACAACACATGGGAGTATTGCTTATTGTCCGATGGCAGTAAATGTTCTGAAGTACTTTTACAATTACTTAGATTTTCCAGTAAGCCTGTTGATGAGAAATTTAAGAAATCTGTATTCCTCTCTTCCCTAGATCCTATCTCTGGATGATGGCGGTGGTTGTTATGACAACCAGCCTTGTGATGTTAGTCGGGAATTGCTGTCTGCGTCACTCAATCAGTATCAGGTAAGACCATTTTCAGCTGCTGCTTTAGCTTAAAGCTTATAGGTTTTGTCGGTGGATGAGTAGTATTTATAGCGGGAGAGAAGTAGTGTTCCTCCACTGGGATCAAACCTGTGACCCTGGTTTCCAAGTCCACCAATCTACTGAGCAAGCTAAATGGAAATTAAAACCTGCCCAACTTTTCCCCTCCTAATGTGTTTAACCCTGAAAACCACATCAACCCTGGTTTTCTAGCTGCAACAAAGCCTCTCAATTTCCACTTGCTTTGACCTGGTTACAGTTCCAAATGCAGCAGGACTGGAGTATTGTGCCTCAACTGGAGATCAAACCTGCAGCCCCTGGCGTAAAAATCTGCTGGTTTACCAACTAGCTTTAGCTTGGAGCTGGAAAGCATTTGCAGTTATGTACAATTTAAACCAACCACACATTAATGTCAACACAGATTGTGTATAGGGTTATGTTTCATACAAAAAAACTGCATTTGACCGATACACAAGATAAATTGGTGGTATCCTAATTCTTTGTATCTTTCTTTAATGACATCACAATGGAAACCCTCAGCCAGCCAAAGTCCTGCTAGGTCAAATTACATGTGTGTAATAACAAGATATTGATATTACACTGATAACAAGTTATTTAGTTCTGTGATCAGGTGATGATTTTACAGATATACAAGACTCAGATTTGATATTTATAATCTCGCACCTCTTAGACTTAAAGTTCCATGTTTATTATGACATGAAAGCATCCCACAGAAACCTGTCACCAACTCACACTGATCACACAAAAAGCAGCTTACTAGCCAAACACAGTCGCGAGAAGTTTGTTTGGTTGTCTTTTTACCATATGTAATATTTACTGGTTTGGATCCAAAAGGAAGGATGTGCCTCACACAGGGCTAAAATTAGTTACCACTACATCACCCAACCATACAAATTCCTATCCTTGTTTTGTTGATGAAAAGCTACAAATATGATTACAGCAACACATCTACAAATTCCACCAAGCTCTGGAGATGGAGGATGAAGAGCAAGTACAGGCACACATCACCTATTTTGGTTGTGATAGCTTCCAAGAGTTTATGTCTGACAGTCGACTTCAGGTATGTTATTGAGTTTACTTGAAATTCTAAACTGAATTATAAATTCCAAATTTTTGCTGCTAAATGTGTATAAGTCACTGACAAAAATGACTTCACCGATCACCTGACCATATATGGTCATTTTTGTGTGATTTCTTAGTTATGTTGATGGTTCTAGACATGAAATAATGAATATAGCACATATGTATCCCTGTTAATTTTTTCACAACAATTACCAGCAGGTCTCATTCAGTTGAGTGGTTGTGTGGTATGTCAGTAATTTGGCTGTATTGAAATTCAGCATCTTGTGAATTATGTTTATTGTTGCATTAATAAACACAATTTAGCAGAAAAATTTCAAAAGTTTCAAAAATGTTAAACCCTTTAATGAGTAGATATGACAGCTGCCTGCAGATAAGTGTAGTGGTATTCAGTTGTCTTAGAGGTTGGCTGTCATCTTTGAGTGAGAAAACAACCTTCATTAACATATTTTACGCTGTAATAAGTCCATACTTGACAATAAGCCCATGTCTGATTATAAGCCCATGTCTGATTATAAGCCCATGCCTGATAATAAGCCCATGCCTGATTATAAGCCCATACTTGATAATAAGCCCATGTCTGATTATAAGCCCATGTCTGATAATAAGCCCATGCCTGATTATAAGCCCATATCTGATTATAAGCCCACGCCTGATAATAAGCCCACTCATAGCTATTGTTGTCTCAGTAGAAATTCGAACAACACCACTATCCTGTAATAAGCTCGCCCCTATACTCTGTGTCAGATGTAATGTGTTGCCCCTTTGGACTGTGGCAGGAGAAATATCATGTTTCATTTATTCCTGATGTAACAGAGGTCGGTATTTATTTTAATGCTTCCACTAGGATTCAAACTGGGGACCTCTGGCTTACTAGTCTGACGCTCAACTGATCGAGCTTAAGAGAAGTTTTCTCTAGTCGAGCGACATAATATGGCTGGTATTTTACCATGGTTACAGTAAAAAAAAAAAGAGTTGAAGGGATGTATATCATAACTTTTGACTTACCACAGGGAGAAGGTCAACCAGCACTGCACAAGGTCATTCTGAGAGGGAATGTTCAGCTGACACAGTTACTTGCAGAAACTCTTGTTTACAAGCAGGGTTGTCGTCTGGACTCAATCCGGGACCAGGTAGGACACAAATTTATTTACTGTCGGGAGTTAAATGGACAATTGTATTACTCCATCACATTGTTAGATCAGCTGTACACATATATCTGGTCTGCATTGACATTACCCTCTTTGCTTTGCTTTGTTAGATGTTTTTCAAGCATTGAATAGAAGCTTAGAGAGGAGACAGGCATGAATTTGAACAGATATTTACGGCAGTAATTCAGTAGTACTATATTGTAGTCTGTTACACTTTAACTGATTAAACCAATAAATAAGGATGAGAAATGAGGCCACAATAGTTCTGTCAGTAGAGACTATGGAACCTGAGGTGAATGTCAAAGAAGTGTCATTTGTTGTGTGTCTACCAGGAAGCTGAGAAACTGCCCAGTCTACACTGACATGGTTGTGTCTTTAAGGAAAATATTTCACCTTATTTGCTTAGGATGAAATACAATGGGCCTCCTGTATGTTGTCCAGTGAGTTAGCCACCATTTGCTTCAAGGAGATCCTGCCTTAAATTTCCTCCCAGAATGGGAATTCCCTGTGTTAACCATATTGTGTCCAATCAGAGAAAAGGTATCACTCATTACAATGCAGTCTTGAGTTATGTTATATCATGTAACTTAAAAGTGCGTCATTTTGTGAGTCGTCATAATTCTGTTTTATTTTTTCTTGTTTGAACAGTTTTTCAGGACAGCTCTCCACTATGCCTATGCACTAGAAGACAGTAAAGCCATTGTGAACATCTTGATGGACCATGGAGCCTCTGAATTCACTATGGACATGGTACAGTACTGACCACAGGTCAAAGCTTTACTATTGCTACTTGTCTATGAAAAGGATGATAAATTGATCCAGTTTAGTAAATGTGTACATGATTATTAACCCTACTTAAGGAAAGGGGGTGTTTAAGAAAAGCAGGTTGATGTGGCACGTACATAGTGTTAAGTATGGTCTCAGTCACTCAGCTGACAGGGCATCCTTCTTTGGCTCAGTTGGTAAAGCCAGTCGATAATTGCGCCGGAGACCCAGGTTTGATTCCTGATTAAGGAACTGGACAGGAATAGGTGTTTCCCTTTTTCTTTCAGAGGTATATAGTAATCACTTTGTGTGTGCTTGCTATGTAGTAACATTGCATATGAGATAACTCATGAACCCAGGGACAGATTTAGTTCAGATTTACACCATAAAATCATCCCACCGAAGTCTACACATAATAAGATTTTAGAGGACATCCGTCAAGGTTAAAAGTCAAAGGTCAAAAGGCCACTTTTTATATGTTTGTCAGGAATGGGATGTTTTGGTTGGTGATAATTTCGGGACTGATCAATATTGTCAACCTTAACATATTTATGATATTAAATACAGTTGGTTACAGTTTGATATTCAAATTACTATTAAGTTTATAATCAAAGTCTGTCTAATGTAAACAATTTTAGTAGCTATGGCCTGTGCAGATATTTTGCACATGGAATTTTGGTGAGTATCTTCATCAAATTTAATGTGTAGCATAACAGTTTATATAATGATTGTACAGTGTATATGTGAATGCGATTCAGTTCAAGAGTGAGTTGTCTCCTGTATATTGCTTGATATTAATTTATAGGATTAACATACTGATGGATTGTTCAAGTGTAGAACTTTGAACACCTGTTATATCTCGATGTTTTAGCTGATAAAATTCTCTTCAGAATGAAAGATGATTTTGACGATAAAGAACAAATTATTTTTAATGTTATATCAATATCTAACAATCACAAAAACAAATATAAAGTGTATTTATATATAACTTTCCTATCTGTTTAACGTCCTATTGATTGAATAATAATCCAAATATTTGTTGACATCCTAAATTCATACCACAACATTAGCTACCTACTATAAAGAAAATTTATATACCAATAGGTTATTCACTGCAACTGACTTGTACAACTTTGTCAATGAAATATTGTTGAAATGAAATTCGTAATTCTAAATATAATTTACTCAAAAACTGTCCTAAATATTTTGTGATTTACTTATTCAATAGATATCTAGAAGGAGTAATCATAACTGACAACTGATTACTCACAAGTACATGTTTAGGATTTTTTGTTTGACAGTTCTGATGAATTGGCTATTAGTAACATACAGATTTTATCATTATCCATTTCAAATAGAATTTATTGTGTTTGGTATTTTAATGAATTATTCTTATAGGATGGTCGCTCCCCTTTAGCTTTCAAGGATCGCCGTGAACTCTCGGAGATGAAGGAGCTACTTCATTATCAATTAATCAAGGTGAAAAAAAATAAACTTCAAAAGACTTTCAAAAAGATTTTTTAATGATAAAGCAGGAAAGTTATATCCAATGCCAACCTGCCCTCAATTGACCTTGAACTTTGGTAATACTTACTACACTATAATACAAGCTAGGGAGAATGTCTATTAAGCTAACAAGCAGTTGAGTACAAGATAACAGTAAGCCAGAGGTCCTAACGAAAAATGAAAAATGGAAAAAAATAATCATTACCTCCCTTTCTTGTAAGTCAAGATATCTATCTCAATATCTTTATACTTGTAGTTTCTTCTTTTCTAAGTCAAGTGGTCACTTCAAGGTACTTTTCTTTTCTCCTCCTAATTCAAAATGTCTTCTCTATATCATGAAATCCAGCAATAAAATGTTCCTATTTTCCCTTCTCTTAAATTCATATATATTTACAGGACTTCCAACAGCCTGAGCCTGACCCCTGGTCAGCACCCCTACCCATCCCGATTGTCGGATACATGAAGAACTGTCGTCACACCCACCATGTGCCTAACAGCGCTGCCCACATGCTAAACCATTCACATCACCTGCATCAGATTTCTACTGCCATCCCAGATAAAATTGTGAGGCAAGACAGAAATATGTTTGCAATTAAAGACAGAAGCCAAACAGATCATCCTCTTGTGTTCAGATCAAAATCTCCTACAAAGGCTCAAGCTACAAAATTCACAGATGTTTCTGCAGTTTCTAAAAATAAGTTTGATACATCTGAAAATTCACGTATGAATTTTTCTGACTTTGAGTCACAGTATTTCAATGATAGTGACAATAATGTTGAACGTGACAGACTGGAGACTCGGTATGATAAAGTGGAGGCTAGATATGTGATAGATGATTATGACGATGAACTTGATGTGTCATCAGATGATGAATATTTAGATGATGAAGAAGAGCTGGTCGAGGAGGAGTCCCGAAGACAAGGACATACATGCACAATACTTTAGTGGAGATTTAGCTGTTTAGGCTGTTCAACTGAGTTGAATCCGTCCGTCAACTGCTCTGCCAAATTGATATTTGAAGACTACCAAGTTTGATGGAAAAATTGAATCAAATGTGTAAGACCATTAAACTACAGTATAATAAGTTGGAAACATTTTTAAAGATGAAGTGATCATATGCTTTTATGTGTATGGACCCAGCATAATTTTGATCAAGTCTGGACGCAGTGGCTGGAGAATTGTCAACACGAGTCAGTCAAGCGGTCTTTGCAATTATACCATATATAACATTATATTTACAATGTATATGTATATATAACTGATAACTGAAGCTGAAGTTGAGAGTACAGGTCGTCTACTTAGCCTCAGCTTGTGGGAAATATCCATTTCAGTGAGCGATACAGTGTCTGGCTGGACATGGAAGGGTCACTACTTTGAACCCAAGAGGGTGTTGCAAATTTGTTGCTGTTGACCACTCCAATGGTAAAAGTTAGAGGAGACTGAGATGCTTCCTGGGAGAAGTCAGACCTAGGTCTTTGTTTTCTTTGGGGTTGACGACTAAAGAGGGTGTGGTTTAGAAGTTGACAGTACAGGTCACCATACTGGCCTCAGCTAGTGGGAATTCCCCTTTTTACGAATTGGTAGATTGTCCAGTGAGAGACCAATGGGTTGTTAGTTCAAACCTAACCAGGAGTAGGATTTTTTTCATTCTTTTCCCTACTATACTATATTTACACATTCACTGAAGCAATCTATATGCATTCTTAGTTAAACTGCAAAATTTGTTGGTTGGTGTCTTGAAATTGTTTTACACTGATGAACAGAAAATCTTTATTTGCAAGCTATAACAAACATGTATCTACTAGATATTGGAGAGAGGAACAGTAACAGAACAACAGAGAAGAATTTTCTACAGGGCTATATTCTATTTTTGTATTTTTTCTTTGATGATGCTTTTTTAGTTATCATTTAAATCATTAAAATGAATGAGGTTGTCATGTGGTTGATATATTTCAAAATCTTTATGTTGTACTGAAGTATCAGATACAGGGTAACAAATCAGTGGTACTGAAGGATCAGATACAGGGTAACAAATCAGTAGTACTGAAGGATCAGATACAGGGTAACAAATCAGTTGTACTGAAGGATCAGATACAGGGTAACAAATCAGTTGTACTGAAGGATCAGATACAGGGTAACAAATCAGTTGTACTGAAGTATCAGATACAGGGTAACAAATCAGTTGTACTGAAGGATCAGATACAGGGTAACAAATCAGTTGTACTGAAGGATCAGATACAGAGTAACAAATCAGTTGTACTGAAGTATCAGATACAGGGTAACAAATCAGTTGTACTGAAGGATCAGATACAGGGTAACAAATCAGTTGTACTGAAGGATCAGATACAGGGTAACAAATCAGTTGTACTGAAGTATCAGATACAGGGTAACAAATCAGTTGTACTGAAGGATCAGATACAGGGTAACAAATCAGTTGTACTGAAGGATCAGATACAGGGTAACAAATCAGTTGTACTGAAGGATCAGATACAGGGTAACAAATCAGTTGTACTGAAGTATCAGATACAGGGTAACAAATCAGTTGTACTGAAGCATCAGATACAGGGTAACAAATCAGTTGTACTGAAGCATCAGATACAGGGTAACAAATCAGTTGTACTGAAGCATCAGATACAGGGTAACAAATCAGTTGTACTGAAGCATCAGATACAGGGTAACAAATCAGTTGTACTGAAGCATCAGATACAGGGTAACAAATCAGTTGTACTGAAGCATCAGATACAGGGTAACAAATCAGTTGTACTGAAGCATCAGATACAGGGTAACAAATCAGTTGTACTGAAGCATCAGATACAGGGTAACAAATCAGTTGTACTGAAGTATCAGATACAGGGTAACAAATCAGTTGTACTGAAGTATCAGATACAGGGTAACAAATCAGTTGTACTGAAGGATCAGATACAGGGTAACAAATCAGTTGTACTGAAGCATCAGATACAGGGTAACAAATCAGTTGTACTGAAGCATCAGATACAGGGTAACAAATCAGTTGTACTGAAGGATCAGATACAGGGTAACAAATCAGTTGTACTGAAGGATCAGATACAGGGTAACAAATCAGTTGTACTGAAGTATCAGATACAGGGTAACAAATCAGTTGTACTGAAGTATCAGATACAGGGTAAGAAATCAGTAGTACTGTAGCATTAGATACTGGGTAACGAATCAATTTCATTAAATCCAGCTGTTTGTTCTCAGAAATCTTGGTATGTAGGTACTTAAAGTTCAGCTTGGATGTTAAAAAGCATGATTATTTATATCTTTACAGGTGTATGATTTCACCAGTGTGTTATTTGATATACTTTGTTATGCAATGGAGTACGTGCAATTTCTTGTTTGTATTGAAAGTTTTGTTTCTTAACATTAAAAAAGATTGTTTTCCAACATTTTGTGTTTGTGAATCATTTGTTTATTATACAACAAAAAGGTTCTCCAAGAAATTCTCCATGTATCTACGTAATCACTGAAAAATATTTTCTCAAAAAATATGAAAATTCAGAAGAATTTTCCAATGAAGGATGCCGAAATTTTTATTTTGTTTATCACATTCTAGTAAATGAAAATCAAAGAGCCATTTAGCAAGAATTAAATTATGCAATCAATAGCCTATGATATTTTGAGAAATTTGTACAAAATTTATATTGGTGAAAAGAACCAAGCCTACTTGTTACAATGAAAGTGGTATACCTGCTAAAGACAAAATAATACTTCGTACCTGGTGTGGGCTCCTCTTGCCCAAATCCCTGCCAAGATTCTCCTCTGGATTGAATTCATGAGAACATTAATTTGTCTTAAAAGAATGTTTTCCATTCTTGTGTTACTGCTTTGATAGTGGGGGTGGGGGGGTTGGACCTTTCCTAATACACCTGTACAGCTCACCCCACAGATGCTCAATGGGAGACATGTCGGGGCTATATATGGGAGCCATTCCTGAGGCTGTACATTGACCAAGTATTCCATTATTTCCTTACAGCTAAGGTGTACTACAGGGGGAACTTTGTATGTTTCTTTTTTTGAGGAGTATATTTTTAGATTAGACAAATGATTTTGGGGGATAACTGAGCTGAAAGCATTACAGGCTACTAAGAAAATACCTAGTCATTTCAAAATGAAAGTACAAGGACATTCAGTTAGCGATCGACAGAAGTAAAAAAAAGAAATTTTTCCGCTTTCTTCTTTTTGATAGTCAAATATTAATTCTGTATATATTTTTCAATATTTGTGAATATGAAATAAACGTTTTTGAGGGTTATTGAAATATCTAGTACAAAAGTTCCCCTAGTATGCACACATGAAAGTGGATGTACTGATGAATGATCCCTTTATCCCAACCTCCTGTGAACTGTGAGTAGAGTAGTGGCAACTTAGGGTACATGATTTGACGTCCCCTACCTACAGCAGTGCAAGCTTCCAAGGAAAGTGAGAAGTAAATCAGTCTGATAAATAGTTGTGTCCATGAGTAGGATATTTTACCCCAGTTGTTCTGAATGGCCTCCCATATGGTGTTCAGTGAGGTAGCCACAGTTACTTGCTACAATAAGTACCCAACTCAAATAACCCCTGCCATTTATGGGAACAACAAATCCAGCAACCAGCCAATACCTCCATATCTATGTATCAAAATGTATCAACATGTGAAATTTCAGTGGTTGAAGGCTATAGAACTATAACTTGTCTGAGATCATCACTGGAAACTAAAGTGACCAAAACAAAGAGTCAAACCTGAAGGAAAATGAATTAGTAAGGTTGATATTGATTTCTTCCTTGGGTCCCATCCCTCTGCCCCTAGAGGATCAGCAAAACCGTTGGACAGAATCCCAATATTCTTCCAGTTAAAAAAAAAAAGAGTTTGCAAAGAAGTTGCACTATTTTCCCCATTGCGCCCAAACACTCCCACCCAGGAGGCCAAGACCAATCTTTTATACAGAATTCATTCCTCTTCACCCAAAGGTGCTTCAGACCAAATTTGGATAAAATCTATACTTCTACAAGGTGCCGATATCCACCTTTTACATAACATTAATTCCCTTTCACATAACAATGCTTCAGAGCCAACATTCTTACAGAAGGAACAAGATTTTTAAGAATTGCCTCCATTTCAACTATTGGGCCTCACCCTCCCTCTCCAGGAGCCCCGAGACCCACTTTTTACATACAATTAATTCCCTTTCATCCAACATGGCTTCAAATCAAATCTGGTGAAAATAAAATCATTCCAATAGGAAGGTTAGGATTTTAAAGTATTTGCTCTGTTTCCCCTATTGGGCCCTGCCCCTCCCTCTCTAGGGGGCCAAGACTCACCGTTTATACAATATTTCGGCAAAATCCAATCATTCCCACATGAGTAGGGTTTTAAAAAATTTGCTCTTTTTCCTTTTTTTGAGCCCTGCCTTTCCCATCCAAGGAGGCCCAGACCCGTAATTTATCAAAAAAGTTTGTTTTTCCCCTCCCCAGAGGATGCTTCAGACATTTGGGCTAAATCTACTCAATCATTCATGACTAGTAAAAATTTGTAGAAAAAGTCAATGATAGACAATGGACAGATACCATGGCATCCCTACAGCTCATGTGGCCCTTTGAGCCAGGTGAGCTAATAATTTAAAGTTTCAGGAATTATACTTTATATATTCATTTAACATATTTCTGTACTTTAGTTTTGTAGAAAAATAAAAGAGCATAAATCAGTGTTATGATAATGTATTTTTTATTTTGTAAGATACCAGACTTATTTAGGTCTGACATGTGATAGATACAGACTGGCATCCTACAGTAATGTAACTTATAGCACTTACATCAAAGTCATTAGAATTTCATCACTAACAGTGAGATGACAAATGACAAAGTCAATTGTGAAAACTGAAAAATCTGTCAAAAATTATTAGTAAGACAGACTTTTCAATGTTTTAAATAGATGATGTGGATCACTGTCTTAACACAAATCATCCGACACATTCAGAGGACACAATTTCCGCGCGGAGACTCGCTGTGAGAGTTAGATAGCTATGATCAGGAAGAAGTCATCACCGGGACTGCTTTTTCTCCTCCTGGAATTTGTAGTGAATCTCTGCAGTGTCTGTCTGTGATATAAACTCCCAGCCTGTCTCTTTCATATGATACACTGAAAAACACCAACATTAAAGTAAACTACACATCTGAGGCGATTCATAGGACAGTCTCATGTAGTACTTTCACCATACATATCTGGCCTACCTCTGCTAACACAAACATCAGTAAATTATTAATAGATTATCTATTACATATGGTGTAAATCACATGACAGAAATTAAAACTATAACAGGTCGAATGATAAGACCTGACAGGAGATATTACTCAAATTTAAACAACTAAGGTCTGAAAAATTAATCTACACCATCTCACATGAATTGCATAAAACAAATAAAATTACTGCCAGCGTGAATTTCATAAATCAAACAAATCTAAAACTGACATAAATTCCATTCATCAAATTTACGGCTTGTATGAATAATAATAACCAAACAAATTTGAACCCCGACATGAATTTCATCAATCCAATTTTATTGCAGTCATGACTTGTATTAATCAAACAAATGCACAACTGTCATGTACTGCTGCTACTAACAAGTACGTAATATACTTATAAGATATTTTGACTTACAGTTAACTACTCCTCCACTGTACGCATCACGGTGAGTGGCATGGTAGATCGCACGACGACCCAGGTCTATGGCCTCCGGCACGGTTAGATCCCAGGCATAGCCAGAGTCCAACACACCATAGGCGTAAGTTGAGCCAGAACCGACTGAGAAAATGTTGTTTGTAAGTCTGGTCCCATCACTGTCTACATAGTATAGTCCTGGTCCCTGTAAATAATGTATTTACATGTTTACATCTGAGAACAATGTTTAGTAAATTATGAACCAATATCTACAGTTAAAGAGCCAGACCCACTCCGTTATAGATATTTTTTCATATCTTATTGACTGGAAATGTTGTTGTATACTAATAGATAATATATAGATAAAGAGTTGTATAAAGTTTTGAAATTGAAATTGAAAGGGTACAGGAGATATCAGTGCTGGAATTAGTCTCATTCATCAACACCAGGATATGAATATTGATGAGGAAAAGTCATGTGATACATTCAGATGTAGTCAGAACCAAAACAAAAATGGAGGAAGAGGTGAGAAGTATGTCCATGTGACATCACTTGTAAAGAGATTTCACCAATAAATGCAATCAATACTCTATATATCCTGTACGGAAATCATCTAACGTATGTATTGATCACATCTTTCAATGCTTAGATATGACACAAAAACATGCAGATTACGAGAACAACTACGATTAATTGAAAAGTGGCCCTCAAATGGGGGCTATGATACGGTAACGAGCATATAGAACATCATGAAATGGATCTATCTTAGCAAATATTCGATGATAAAAGTATTTATAAAGATAAATCTTTGCCTTTGATATATCACGGTATTATCATTGTGGTATTACAGGATTAGTCAGAACTTTTGCTACCCGAGAAAAATAGAAAATCATTAATTTTTTTTATATAAAATAATATCGGTCGAGGAGTGGGTCTGGCTCTTTAAGACATCTGATGTGTGCGATGAGAAATGATTTTTGTGCATTTGGTATCACTAGAAAGGCCATGAAAATAAAGGATGGTGCAGTGCTCAATGGACTGTTCAGAACACTTCTGACGACTGAATATTGTGTGTTATTGTAGTTACCACGACTACTTGGTACAACCAAGACTTGAAGTGAATTGTCTTGGACATGGGGGAGGGTCCATTATTTGTGGCAGTGCCAGAAGTGGAGGGTGATGTGGAATAGTGTTACATAAAATTTAGCATAACTTATTATAAAGTTTAAAGATATTCCAATTCCAAGTTTGATTTCATTTTAAAACGGCAAAGAGGAAACAGATATCTTCGGACAACCACACGTAAACAGCCAATCACATCACTGTTTACATGGAAGATGTCTCTGTAGGTGTTTCAATCAATCTTTCCTTACACAGGCTAAAATACTCTACACAAAATCAGATATTTCCAATGCTGCCTTGTGACTTAACATGTACTGTAAAACCATTGCTTGTGACTTAATATGTACTGTAAAACCATTGCTTGTGACTAAATATGTACTGTAAAACCATTGCCTTGTGACTAAATATGTACTGTACAACCATTGCCTTGTGACTAAATATGTACTGTACAACCATTGCCTTGTGACTAAACATGTACTGTTAAACCATTGCCTTGTGACTAAATATGTACTGTACAACCATTGCCTTGTCACTAAATATGTGCTGTAAAACCATTCATTTTCATCAGGGATTTATTTCAACGATGAATTTGTATGTCCAAATACTCTTAAAACAAGCAAAGAAATTTATTGAGCTGTTTTTATCCACTAAATCAAGTACATTTTTTTTTCAAATCATGAAAACTGAGTCCCACAAAAATATATGATGAGACAGTTATTACAAATGGGCCACACACTGAATCATAAAACATGGACGGATATCATACCACTTCAACACTGGTGTCTAATATAGAAACACCAACAGGTAACTATAGTACCAACAGTCAAGGTGTGCATTGATCTAAATTAACCATCATCATATTGATGTTTCCTTCCTATCCAGATACATTGACAACGTTTGTGTGCACTACCTACAGTTGAAACATGACCGTTAAACCCTAATTTCTGAGTCAAAGTGACACTCACCTTCTTATCCCATCCACAGATCATTGTACCCTGGAAAAGAACAAAACAATTACATGGATTTACATGATATGAATTTCTAGGATAATAAAATTTCCAATAACAGCACTATGTGTTGCTATACACACTTCTTATTGCCTACCAGGTTTAAAATTATGTATTTTGTTTTGATATAATTAAGAATACAGTAGTGAAAAATGTTTCACATACTCTTAAGGGGTCAAAACTGGAAAACAGGAGACCTCCAGTTTAAAAGACATTCACAAATAGGAGATCATTGTATACACTTATTTACTGAAATTCAAACTCAAACAATGTTATACAACTTTATAAATTATAATTAAGACAATTCAACAACAAATTACATTATCTCAATAATCAGATTCTCTCCAGTATGACACCCAAGTATATTCTATTACAGAATATTGCTGTATGTACTGAAATAAACTAGTTTCCTAAGTCAATGGATAAAGATGGAGCTTCACAAGATGATCAAGGTAACACAATCACATTCAACAACCCCATCCCATTGTAACTGTATACAATATTAACCATCAACAGCCCTATCCCCTTATAACTGTATACAATATTTACCATAGACACACCCATCCCCTTGTAACTGTATACAATTTTACCATCAACAGCCCCATTCCCTTGTAACTGTATACAATATTTACCATGGACAGCCCCATCCCCTTGTAACTGTATACAATATTTGCCAACACTTTGGATGCTGCTGCAACAGAAATTCTTTCTTTGTTGCGGAGTTCGTAGATTCTGAAGAAAAAAAATACCATGTCAATCTATGATAGTCATTATTCAAAATTCTCATATCATTATTCCTTGTGCAGAAATATGAAATTAAAAAAAAAAACGTAGTAAAATTTTCAACCTATTTGCCACATTGATAAATAATCATGTTGGAGCTGTAGGAATAATCTAGTGCCATAAAAAAAGCGTAAGTTTGTGAAGTTCAAAGCTATCTAAGTTTTAAATGCTGATTTTATCTTGCACAAGACACCAAAGCGTTATCATGTATGTAGTGAAAAGGAGCATACTAGCACCTCTTATAGGTAAATGGAGGTAATATATAATGAATATAATACATACCTGCACTGTTTAGCAAGGTACCTCTCCCAGTAGGAACAGTCAGCTGCACCCCCAGCCATTGTCCCTAGGAGGTATGGGTTTATTTCAATCACCTTCTTCACTGTCTGGGAGGCTGCAGAAGAAAATTTCAAAAACAGTGAGTGAGTAAGCAGACCATGGGCATCAAATGTGAACAAAGTACCATAACTCATGACACACGGGTAGTTGAAGTAATCCTGAATTATTTTCATATTCTATCACCTTTTTTTTTATATCAGTCTGCAGAAGTCAATGAACATCAAACTCCAGCTCTATATAAAGTTAGGGAAATAAGTGACCTGCACTTGGGTCGGCATTCAAACGTTAATTGTGGAAAGAAATTGTCATTTTCATATGCATAGCAGTTGCACATGGTATGTTATTTTCAATGTAAATCATGATGAACAATGATCCATTTTGCCAAAAATTGTTGTTCAAGACTTCATCTTTTGTATAAACTTTTTGCCATTCAAAAAGAAGCTTGCAAACAAAATTAGACAACTGTGTGTAATACAGCAATCAAGCAAACCATCATAATTCTGTTAAATCTTAAACTTTCATCAGGTTTTTACTTTTACTGACCATGAATATGTGATTACTCCTATTCCAGATTTTATAGACCACAAAAAAATAAACAGATAAAATAGACATAAATTACATTACTTTTGGACTTCAATAGGAAAATTTAACCATGAAATCATGTGCCGACAAAAATGCCACTTTTTTTAAAAAATAAAACCATGAAATTTGAGCTCAAAAAATGTATGACATCAAAGTTTATAAAGAGTCTTGTTTACCCTTCCTAAGTTAAATATGTAAGAGTACAGGTAGGTTGTGGACAGTTGGAGAAAGACTCTCAGGCACTGAACCATCCTGGTTGAAAGACTCACCAATGTAGGAACCAGCAGTAGCTCGGGAGTCCACAGCCACGATGACACCATGTTGGAACTTGAATGCAAGTGTAGTTGTTCCATGATGAAATTGAATCTTCACGTCACTTTTTGGATCAGTAAATGCTTTCAGGTTTTCAACTGGCTGAAAGATATATAAACAAGACACTAAATATCAACAATTATGAAAGATTCGAAGAAAGATCATGGTGTCTAGTGTACAGGTGGATCCTATGATTCATAGTGTCTAGTGATACTACATACCAAAATTTTGGTTATATATGTGTAATAGGGTCGGTTTTTAGCTAATTTTGGCCGCCGTTGTTTAGCGTCGCGTCGTTTGAATTTTCGCGTCGTTTGAATTTTCGCGTCGTTTGTTATCGTTAAGATGTATGTATATATGTTGCGTCTATATGTCCAGTTTATCTATGTGACGTAGTGTGTCTACGTAGGTCCAGTTATTGTCTTGTTTTCGTTCTTTGGGTCTTTGGCGGGTTTTTTAGTGGACAAAGGGGACGTTGACCAGTACGGACGTTTCAAACCTCCGTTCGACATTTGAGGCGTTTGTCCCGTAAATTTTGATCGTCTACGATCCTGATGATATTCATGTGATTAATGAGCCCTATGTTACTTTAGGACCCTTGACCCATTGTTGGGGGTCTTTATAATTAGATAAACCGAATAGACAACTGGAACTGGAACCGGTGTTCGCCCTCGTTATTTCAACACCTATCAAATTTACATATGTTCCACAGTGAATATCAGTATTTGTTCCCTACAGTAGTGTCCATTACTTATGCTAATAAATGCTAAAATAAGAATCACTGGAACTTGACACAATTCCTAATCCAAGGTCGTCATACTTGTGTAAGTATTAATGTTACAAGGACTGAGAAGGAAAAACTGAACAGATTCAATTTTTGGAAATTTCATGAATGCTGTATTTAATTTTTACCCTAAAAAATGAAAATCACCAATATAAATAGGAATGTGTGATACATTCCTGATAGAAACAAATACACTGTTGTGGGTACTCTATACTGCCACAAGTTTAAATTTTGCAATTTCAGCATATAGTTATATTTATCATTGAGGTACCCCTTTAAGACAAAAAGGATGTATATACCAGATAGATAATGAACAGACCTTCTGATTAACCTGTGATATGCACATGAAAATGACAATTTTTTTTCACAGGCATCATTTGAATGCTGACCCAGGACATGAGTCGCTTATTATCGTCACTTTATATAAAGGGCCGGACTTCAGACATTCATCGAATCCAGACCGAAATGAAAAAAAGTTAATAGAACATCAGAATAATTTGGACTAAGTTCAACAGTTACAGAAAGCAGCAATACTTTATAGAATGTGCATTAATTTGACAGAATTTCTTTCTGATTTACTTAAATATTACAATCAAAGATATAAATACATATCCTCAGTTCAATGAATCATTTATAAAGAATTTCCTTTAACTTAAAATTTCCTTTAAAATATAAATGCTGGTTTAAATAACTATTTAATTTGTTGTTACAAACATGTTTACTAACGGAAATTAGTAAAACTGCTCTTTATCTACCCATTAAATGGGTTCTTAAAATCAAAAGAGCAGAGTAGGTTCCATAATTACTTTCATGTAACAAGGACTATATAATAGGCTGGAATTTTATTTCTTAAGTTTGAACAAATATGTTTTATCGCAGAAAAAAACACAAATGTAAAAATATACAGCGTTTCTCTAAAGTTAGCGCATGACATGGAGACTGAAATCTGTTGTGAAGATGATTACTACCATAGCCAAATTGCCAGTGGAATGAGACAGCAGATTATGCCAGGTTCATGCCGGTTACACAAAGTAAAAGAATAAACGTGAACTTACGTCAAAATTGTTCGGCAATGTGAAGTTGTGAGAAGATGTTAAAGCATCGTCTACTAAACGTGAAGAGTCCGAGCTGTCTCCACAAAGTAAGGAGCTCTGAAGTGGCTGGAACTTCAATCCACAAACATCAGCAAGCGCCATGATTTTTTTGTATTGAAGGTCCGCAGTGAATATTATTTTACTTGTTTTTTCCAGAATGTTCGGTTCATGTATCCTTTATGGTACTAATAAATATTTATTAAAAATAAAGCACAAAGCCAAACTAAGAAAATATTTAATGTCTATCTAAAAAAATCAGAAATATATAAGTTTTCTAATAAGCGAAACGCTAAAATCCCCGGAGGGAGAAATTATCCGGAAATTTCTTTGCTTATGCTTATAGTTATAGGCATAAGTTGAACACTCGGAGTCGTAAGAGAAATGAGAAAAGAGTGACATTTATCTGTCTTTGAATGGTCAATATTAAATTGGAAAAATTAAACAATAAATTCTCAATTCATTTATTTTTATCTTTTTAACTTTAACACTGTCTGTAGAACTTAAAATGGACGCGACCATATCTACCATAACCGTTCAAATTAAAGGACATCATTGATATTTTGCTTATCGTTAACTATTAACTATTATTAAAGCTGTGGGTATTGACACAATTAGTCAAAATATGTAAAAAAAAAAAAAAATACAGCTTCATCCATAGACTTTCCTCTGTCTGATATGTTTAGATTTATTTGGAAACTTCAATCTTTCAAAAACATAGGAAAAACTTGAAGCCTTTCGAATTACAGATTAATACCATTACTCTGCACCATTGGGATTTTTTTTCAATAGATTAGCTGTAAAATATGTTTTTATGTTTTGTTTTCAATTGCTGTATTCACTTAACTTTTTATCAGTTTACTTAATTATATTCCTCAATACATAATAAAGCATAAAAAACAGGGTGGGGAGATTTCGGGTAGGGTGGGTCAGGGGTGGGTTCACTTCACCATGGCCATGGCTATTTTCTTACTAATTAACTTTTTTCACCATTTAATTTGCAATTCATCTTGATTCAATCACATAAACACATATATAACAAAAAATAGGTCATGGGTGGGGCAATTTAGGATGGGGCAGTGGGAGGGGGGTACATTTCACCATGGCCATGGTAAATGAAGCATTACACTATTTTCTTACTAATTTGCTTTTTTTACCAATTGCTTTGCAATTTACCCTGATAGCATCAACTTCTAACTTAAATGAATGAGAGAGGCTTCATTTGACAAAACCTAGGGTAGAAGCTAAGCTGTTCAGTGTTCTTTTCCTGCAATTATTTAATGATCCATATATCCTTAAACAATTGTTGCTACCATTAAAATGTCATTCTTTTCTTAAAAACTTGCATTGATTCTTCTCAAACATATCAATATTAACATATCCATTGTTGTGCTACGTCTATTTCGAGGAAATGATCAACAGACGGCCATTTTTGATGCCAATAGTAGTAATAGTTCCATCATTATTTCTAGAGCTAAATGATTATCCTTGTCAGTTTTGGAACTGATAAAAAAGAGCAAGGTGTCCGACGGCAGTCATCTTGGATTTTGACAGTAAGTTTGTTATCGCTACTTCTGGAGGATTAGATTTCGCTAAATGGTAGTCATAGATTTGTTGTTGTGCACTATCTATTATCAGAATGGAAAAAATAGCTGCCAGATGGTCATCTTTGATTTTGACAGTAATTGTCGCTATATCTGTAGAAAAGTAGCTGATGGGCCATTCCCAAATTGCATACTAAGGCTACTTTTGGTTTCTTGTCCATTTTGGAACTTATTGGAGAAACAAAATGGCTGACAGATGGCCATCTTTGAATTTGAGTTAGTTTATTATTGCTCTTTATGGAAGTACTGGAGGGGTCTTTGTCCCAATGAGTTAAGGGTAAGAAAGTTTCACTTTAAGCCTTATTGCTTATGTCCAATGTTCAGTGCAAATGACAGGATAGAAGAGAAAAGAAGGGTAAATATCAATCAACAAGGACACAATAAATATCATACAATGGTGGTTGTCAAGATCTCGTCAAACAAACATACAGCATGCAATCCATTTTCCACAGGTTGTTTATATTGGGCTTGTATAAAAAATTAAGATAACAAATATTAATAGTAAAATAACTTTTTATTGATATATCTAAAATGTAAAGGAAAATATCACAGAGATCAATGATGATAAAGAAATATTTGAATAATTCTTAATATTAGGAGAGAATGTAAATAGCACCAAAATCAGGCAGCCTTAAATTTAATAGATAAGAAACAGATTCATTATAAAGAAAAAACCTTTTCAAATGTGACAAATATAAGAACAACATGGATAACATATCACTTACAAGTGAAAATTTGAAAAATGTACTATACTTCATTATAGAAAAATACCAGTTCTTATCAAAAGAAAAGAAAAATATCTCCATATATATATATGATATATTAAAAGATCATATCCCAATATGAAGTACTATATCCCTGTATAAATTTAATGTTTCATGCCAAGTGCATCTCAGAAATCTTGGTCTTCATGCTTTTTGCACAAAAAAAATTATGTTACTTGAAAATATTTAGCCAAAATACAAATTAACATGAAAATGGAAAATTGATCATATGAAATAATATCTCTACATAAATTATCACAAACCTTCTTGGTAATTATCAGTTATTTATAAAATGACCCAAAATGTTTCTGCTAGTTTCTTTCTCAAGGAAATAAATGAATCTACATTATCAGAATGTTTAAAATTCACCAAAAGCACTTTGTATGTATTATCAAATATTATCTGCAAGATTTCTGTTGCTGTTCGATACATGTTTTATACATAACTGGTCACTGTCAGTAGACTCTGTGCCATATTTAATCTGCAACAATGCCAGGGAGTCAACAAACTCTGGCTCAGAGTTTAGGGGTGGCCTTAAGTTATTGCAATTCTACTTGACAGCAATATTTAAGACATGCATGGGCTTATTACCAGTCATGCACTTATTGCTGAATGTATACATTAGAACCCTCATACCATGTCCATTATTTAAATGATTTCGAATTTGTCTCTATAACAATAACACTATAACAAAGACCGTAAACTATTAAAACTCTGTTTTCTCGACAGTTCTTTTAAAATCCAAATACAATGTTACAATCATATCCATGATCACTGTTCTTTCTTCTAAATAGATTAACAAACATCTGTAATTCATTTTTTATATCTTTGCTTCTTCAAAATTGTATTTCTTTCTTGCAGAAAAACTGATCTGCAATAAAACTTTTTACTTAAACTAAAAGTGTATCAGAACCCAAACAAATATATATATCTGATATTGTTAAAGGCTTGATATCAGAGTGTTTCCATGCTATCAGAATCAATGCATAGGACACAAGAAGTTAAAAAGTTTAAAAACTGCTCTAAAAAGTTGTCAAATTATGTAATCAAATTTTTGATAATATTCTTTGTAGTTGGTTTCCATGTCTTCATCTGCCGGAGACTGAAATAGCCGTACTTGACCTTGCTGTAGCTATGTTTGCCTGTGTAACCATAGGCAATGCTGTCCCCTGTAGCTTTGTGGGTCTGTACCAATTTTTGTCCTGAAATTAAGCATCAAAGGTAAATATCAAGGACTTCTAAAATAGATATAAATGTATAATAACAAGAGTTCCTCAGAACTGTGTGTCGCCTGCATAAAGTGTCACGGTCACCCAGAAATTGAACTGGATGTGCAACAATCAACCATAAAGTTGTAATACCAAATTTCATTTCTATAACTTGAAGCATAAAGGGAAAACTGCACAAAGCAATATTCCTGAGAAATTTTCCAAGTTCAAAGGGACATATCACTGCCAAGAAGGGTTACAGACTGCCAAGAAGCGAACTTGGTGCGTAACTTTTGACCAAGAACTCATATACAAAATTGCATTTTCATAACTCGAAGCATAACCAAGAAAATTCCAGAAAACAATATTCCCAAAGAATTTGAGTTCAATGGGTCAGGAAGAGTCACAGAGAGCTGAGAATTGAACTTGATCTGTAATCTTCCACCAAGAAGCCATATACAACATTTCATTATGCTAACTCAAAGCATAATTGAAAAATATCTGGAAAACAATATTCCCAAAGAATTTTCTAAGTTCAAAGGGGCATAACTCAGCCAAGAAGGGTCACAGACAGCTGGGAATCACACTTAATCTGTTCCCTTGTGACGACGGACAAAGTGATCCCTAAGTGCCTGCCAGCTCTGCAGGTGTCACAAAAATCAACTGCCATCAATTAAGGGACACATTTTGATGTTTATTCAAAGCTTGATAGTTACTGTTTATGTTTGAATTCCACACCTTTTTCAAAGCTGAGGTGGGTGTTATCTAAAGATCTGTGTGTAACCAGAGCCTTAAGTGGACGAGACTGTTCCAGAGGTACACCATGATAAGGGTATTGGGCTGCGTCCCTCTGCTCCATCTTGCTAAGAGACACTTGCTCTTCCTCACTGTTTACCCATCCTTGTCTACAGACATGAGGTGGTGGTGTATCATCTTCATCATCTGAATCTTGGGTTAGCTCAGAAAACTTCCTTACTGGTGTTTCCTGATCAGCAGGTTGTGGGGACATTGTTATATTGAATTCCTGCACTGTAGACATTTCCTCCTTTCTGACTGATTTTCTTACTTTCTTGGAATGTTTTGATTGTGCCATCACCTCGTCAGTGTTTTCTTGTTTAGATTTCTTGTTGATGTTTGCTCCTGTTGTTTTAGTTTTAGAATGTTTTCTAACCTTGTCATTGGAATGTTCACCATCTGATGTTGAAACAAACAAAATTATGAAAATCAGCATTAAATTTAAATTGCCATAATTTTAAGATAAAACTGGCATAAATTATTCCCTTCTTTAAAGTTTGTGAAGCATCATTATAACTACACCAACCCCTATTACTCTTCTGAAATTTTCTTTTAATAATAGATGAACTTTTGATTAAACAATGAAATGAAATAATGTTGATGTGCATGCTCAGAAGGGATGTGGTTCATTCTTTGTCCATGTACCACCATGAACATGAAGCAAGGTCATGTACAATTCATTAACAAATAATGGTACTGGCAACTACCGTTTGAACCTTTGGAGAAGGAAGATTGTATTGAAGATGACTCTATCTCCTGAAGAGAGGAAGTTGTAGAATCAGTATTGGGAGATTCTAAGATCTGTCTGTATACAGAATCTGGAGCAGTAGCTGTCTCTGGAAAACCCATTTCTTGCAGATGCTCCTGAAAAATACACATAACTTTTTCAATCAGGCATGTTTTAAGAAATTTTATCCATTTTTGATTATAATTATCTGCATCATCAACAGACTACTGAGATAAACACTAACATCATAGAAATATACTAAATTTTACACTCAAAGATTTTTTTAATGTGAAATTCAGCATCCTCAAATCCTTAGTTTTTTAACACTATACAGCGGAAGAAGTTTTGTAATTTATCAAGTCTGTGAATTCTGATATTCTGCCCTAAAGGACCAAGACCTACTAGCATGTTATCTACCAAACCTGCGTATTCTGCCTCATAGCACCAGGCCCTGTTATATTATTAATAAACCTGAATATTCTGTCACAATATCTTTTAGGATCATGATATTTTATTCATCAAACCTGTGTATTCTGACACATTGCCTTATAGAACCATACGCTACATGTATTTTTTCAAACATGTAATATGATAATTCCTTACACTGTCTGACAGGACCATGATAGGCTGTTGATCAACACTGTCCATTTAACACACAACCTGGTTCAAGCTCCTTTAGTATCGAAAGATTAAGGAAGTCATTTACCTCAGTAAAGATCACTTAAGCATTATACTAGTAGCTGTTCTTTGTATAATACCTACTGCAATGTTCGGAAATTTGTAGATAAAGATGTCATCTTTTCTCGTCAAGGTGGCATTGGGAAGGTCTATGAATGTTGGTGATACTGATGCCATCAGATCAAGCGTTGCCTGTATTTTTTCAGTTCTGCATGTAAGAAATTATAATCAAATTCCAAACTTGAAAATACTGATAATCCAATATCCTTGTTAAATATCTTTCAAGCAATATCTTTAAAAAGAAACAAAAAAATTCACAGAGTCACTTTGTTGTGCTGGTAGGAGCTTCTGTGAAGATGTAATCAAAATAAATTACAACATATTATCATTAAATCAAATGAAATGCAGGAAGAATTTATGACACCACATATCTGGTAATGGCTGTATCCCGATTTGCCCACTATTTAAAATAACATGGGCGGAAGAATGTAGTGATAAGGATTATAGTCTATTTCATACTAATTTACCTGTGTTTACCTGTGTTTTTACCTGTATTTTACATATGGTCACCTTTGCCATCTAGCCTATTAGATGATAGCTATTTGATTGAGTTTTTAAAAATATATAAAATAAAAAAGCATTGCATTTTATTTCTTTACGTTGAAAATATATAAATTTCAATTTATTTTAATTCATTATCATTTACTAGAGGAGGTTAAAATTCACTGAAATATTACATTATATCAGAATTAAAGTTTTACATTTTTGATAAATTTGTCTGACGAATATATATTAAGTATATATTAAGGGCCCCATAGTAAGTAAATTGATAATGATGATGAAATATTTTAGGATATTAATCATTATGTATAATTAAACAAAATATCCATTGGTATTAATTGTATTCATTTTTTATTATACCTATACAAATCATTTTATGTTTTCTAAATGTAAGTATACTTATATTATTTAATTACCCAAGCCATCGACCTCAAATATAATGTGCAATGTGGACTGATAATAATGTGCAATGTGCTGGACTGTCAAACATCCTTTAGAATACTATGTTTTATTTCATTTATATGTATGCAATGTGTAATGACAAACTTTCTACTTTTTGTATGTTTAATTGTATTTATACGTATAAGAAATGACGAACTTTCTGCTTTATGTTTAATTTTATATATATGTATGTAATGTGTAAGAAATGATAAACTTTCTGCTTTTGCTATCTAATATAATGTGTGTAATAAAATAAATGAAACAAAATAAGATAAAATGTAATGTAGACTACAGGTAGAATCTCGGGTAATAGTTCACACGTAAAAACACAGGTAAATGAACTCAGGTGAAATCTATAGTTAATCTGAAATTGACTGTAATTGGTTTTCTATTGTCTTCCTAAAACAACACCTTTCATTGTTAAATAAAAAGCGGGCAAATCGGGAACACCCCCTGGTAATAAACCCACCCAGACACTCCATCCAATGGCATCGCTACTGCAAAGCCAACAAATTCTAAATATCACAACTGTCCTGTTCTACATCCCTAACCCAACGAACAGGTTATGTTTAGGTGCTCTGTCTTATTACTAATAACATCCTACCTGTTGGTCTCCTGCTGGTTCAAGATCTGTACAAATTTGTTCATGGCAGCGTTGCTAACTTTCACACGTTCTTCTTCAAATTTTTCTATTTCTCCTGCTATCCTGATCATACCCTGCCATCAAGTTTTAAAAAAGTGTTTTCCTTACTATCATGCGAGAGGTTCATAATTCAAATGCTGATTTGAATATGTATTGAAAAGATTGAAGGATAATAACATGTCAGTTTTCTTAAACTTTTGAAATAATTTATTCAACCACTTACAAAATTAGATGTTTAAACAAACTGGTAACACATAGACTATTATACTCCCAACACAAATTATAAAAGAGAGTAGAGAGGAAAATCAGAATACAGAGTACCACTCGTAACAGAAGGAGTAATGTTATATATGATGCCCTATCATATAATCTCCGTACTGATAGAACTGCTGATTTTATTCAAGCTTTGATAGGAATATTTTTTAGTTTACATGCTAATATGAAAGAAAAAACTATGTCCAAACTGAATTAATGCATGTTATTATTATCATTATTAAGTAGGCAGAGCTAGATTTTTTATTTGAGAAATTAAAAGAAAAAATCATCAAATCAGAAAGCTGCATTTTGCATACAAATTTCACAAAATTAATTATTACCTCTTTAAGGAATTTCCGGCTTTCGACTTCTTCTACCACTAGTGCCTGGCACTGTCTCAGAGATTTGTTAAGACGACTGATCAATTCTTTTTCCAACCCTTTAAGAGTTCTCTGCTCTTTGATTTGACGGGCTGATACATCTACATCCAAATTAACACTAATCTGCAGAGCAGCTTGAACATTTTGTAGTTTCTTCTGGCATTTTGATAGTTGTTCACGTATCTTTGTCAATGTCTGGATTATTAATAAAAACATTTTCATTACTCGGTTGAAATAGCATCATGGATAATGAAACGATAATTTTACACCAGATGAAAACTTGTTAGTGATACAAAAGTAAAAGACAAAATTATGATTTAGAATAATGAAATTTGAATAACACAATATGACATTTTAAAAATTACCTTTTTCTCTTTTTTTAAAAGATTGATTTTGTTTGCATGATCATCAAGCAAGTTGAAATATTGTTTTTTCAATTCTTCTGGTCTTGTTTTTGTTTTAGGAGTATCCAGCCATCTGTTTTATAAAAAAAATACATTTTATAATGAACAGAAAATAATTCCTACCTACACCAAAATAAGAGAATGTCTGAGGCAAATTGCATATCAAGTAAACAATTAATACTTTGTAAACGATTTATATTTAATCTTACAATAAAATATACTGATATTTCACACCCTTTTTTGCAAGCAAGGGACTTTCGTGAAGGCTAAATTTTACCTTTTAATTGTTTCATATGGTCCACCAACTTCTGCTAATTTGGACACAATGCCCTGTTGGAGGATGACAGTACTTTTCATGTAAGCTTGGTATTTCTCCTTAAAACTCTCAAAGAGGCAGTAACTTGATGCTGTGAACAAGTGCAAAATATACAGCTGCTTGTTGATGAATATTTTATAACGAAACTTCTGTGAATTATCATAGTTTGTCTAAAATTGCTTTTTCATGTGTCCATTCAACACTTTGAGGTGGATTAATTCAACAATAGTAGTCTTCAAGCAGTTTGATATAAAAAAAATCTTGCATCATTTAAGGGGCAGCATAAACATTTGACATTTATGAAGAGAGGTAACTGTGTATAATTTGTAAAATTCTCTATATTTCGAAAAAAATGGGGCAAAGACACAACTGGCTGGGTTGCTGGATGAGTGCAATGTTACATGGTATTCATAAGACAGTTAAGGGTGTTTCATTTGTTGAGTATCAAGAAAAAACGTCCGGAATTAATCCATAATGGGAGGTGCACATCTTCAACATATATTTAAACATCCTACAAAGTTTCAAGCTTCAACGTTAAAAATTCTAAGAGGAGTTGATTCTACAAAACTGGTACCCCTTTTCCCCGCACGCGCGCCGCCCAACATTCACCATATTATAACCCGGATTTGCACTATGTGCGACCCAGCCAAAGATATTTGATATATAGAAAATAATTATTTGGACAATTCAATGACAGAGAAAGTCAAAAGCTATGAACAATGTTTTAAGAAGATCTACATTACCACAGGTTATGAAATCTTGCAAAATCAAAATACTAAACAAACAAACCGAATTATGATTAAAACTACTTCATTCAGTGATAGAAAGGACCTGTGCAGTTAAAAGATCCGACATTTAGTACTTACCACTCTCATTCAATGACTTTAAAGTAGAATTGTTTTGCTTTTCTACGAGTTGTAATCGAGATGATTCATACTCTAGTCTGGCTTTGATGACATGCTTAATATGTCCGGCTATCCTGAAATAGTTAAAAACAAAATATAAATAGACTTTCCTTGTCAAATACTACATGAGCTAATCCAATACGGCTAGAGTTTAAAGAGGTCCTATATAGAGGTTCTATATATTTTACTTTCAAATATTCATATCAAAATGATAAGTAACTTACTCTCGTCCCTTGACAAGACTGTCAATTGTTTCTTCTTTCAATATATGCATTCTACAGCTCATTTTCTTCGGAATGATTCCAGAGCACGACTCCATGATTGACTCACAAATGGAATATGGCGCCTTAGCAACCCTCTAAAAGTCACGTGCAATGGCGGCGACGTCTATTGATAAACTATGTACAAAGGGGAGGTAACTCTGAATATGTAAGCCTATGTAACGTGTCTTGGATTTTCACTGTTGTAGTTTAGTCTACATGTATACAATGCATGTACAAATCAACTTCAAAATCATTTTCTTTCAACCAATATTTCCTTGTGTATATATTATACATTTACATCTTTTGAGTGTATCGTATTTGATTGGTCTGGTTTATTTTGGTTTAGGTTTTCAACGAAAGTTATTGTTAAAGTGTTATAGTCCTAACATTTTAAATTCTTTGCTAAGTCAAAATGAAAACACTCCAGAACGCCAAAATAAAAATGCACTTTACAACAAGAGGAGCTGGTTTTTTTTTTTTTTTTTTTTTTCCAAATGAAAGGCGATCACCAATTTTTAAGGCGTCTAGTGTTGAAATTTTGCTGATATTGGGGTTATGGGCATGCTGAGATAAAGCGCTACTAAAAAGTTCAAATCAATGTTCTTGATTCATTTTTAAGGTCGTAAGGGTGAAATGTGTTTAAATCTGAAAATAACGTCTTCACAAAAAATATAAGACTCAAATCACTTTTGTTGACATGTGTCGTGCTGGAATGAAGATCTACCATGTTGTTTAAATTGACCTACTTTCAATGTCACAGGGGTCAAATGTGTTCAAATTTTTTTTTCAATAATCAAAACGCCAAGGACGTGGTATTGGACTTGTAGCACGCTACCGGGATGAAGACCTACCAAAGTTGTTCAAATGAATTACCTTGACCCACTTTCAAGATTACATTTGTCAAATGTGTTAAAATATTCAAAAGATTTCTTCTCATTAACCAAAAGACCCTAGCTATCGATATAGCTTTGGTGACATAACTGGATGAAGATATTTTTATTCATATGATTTACAATTGATCATGGTATTTGTATAGTAACATGCTTGAGGAATGGGATTTCAATTTTGCACCGGGAAAGTCCTCTGTTTAAGCCGTTGAATAGGTGAGCAACTCATGTCCATTGGGCGTTTTGTTTGTCTTTATTTGCCAAAATATTCTGGATCTGAACGGTTGTGAATTATTTCATAACTGGTCCTACTGCTGCTGTTTAGGTCTTCAGTGTAGAAAATGACCAATGGGCCTCTTGTTTTTCCTCTTGTAAGGTATGCTGATTAGATCATTCCAATTCCATGAGAAATTTGATGGAAGTACATACAAGCACACATAACTGTTAAAACTAAGTAAAATCTCGTAGTTATTGGTTGATAGAATAGTGATCAGATTTCCATCTCTTGACATTAAGTTTGATTTTATCGAGATACATATCTCGAACATTATCATAAAAAAAACCCGTAGCTCATACTTCCTATGTTACGAAAAACAAAACATAGTTGTTAAGGAAAGTGATGATGCGTTTGACTCCGTAATGAGTCTACTGACCTCAAGACAATACCGTTTTAGATGAAGTTTAAAAAACAACGATTTTTTTTGTAAAGTTCTTATATTCTGTTAAACTGACAACACGGCAAATATTCACAATTTCATTATCTGTCCTCGCTCTATAACAACGAAATACCAACAGCCATCCACCGTAACAGGAAAAATGACTGTAGATCTAGAGAACTTATGCGTTTTAAGGAAAAAAAATTAGGTTACCCTTTTGATTTGTTATTCGCACATGCGTCACGTGACACATACTTCATGAATACAGACTAGAGGACATGGCAGCCAAAAGTTTCAGGTTGATCTTGCAATATGACACCGACTCTTACGACTCTAATAAAACGTCGTTAAATTTTTATCTAGAAAAAAAAATCGTGAAACAATGTGATGAAAGACACATGTCCTGGTGACGTCATTTACCACCGACACAAACGCTGTGAACACCCTTAAATGATAACAAAGGAGATTTTGGGTAGATAGTTAATGTATAATTGTGTTCAAACAAGTAAGAGTATTGTTGAGTTACAATATTCATTCAATCTTCGCAACTATCGCTGTCAATATGTTTAGACCTCAGTTGTGATTCGCCATGATGTCCGTTGGAAAATGCAGTCGATACGATACTGAAATCGCTTTACTACGGAGCCCGTTAACTGATATGCTCCATACTTATTTTATTTCGTTTTTTCGAAATATCAATTAGTTATTTCGAAATTTTATTTCGTTTTCCCGAAATATCAATTCGTTATTTCGAAATTTTATTTCGTTTTTCCGAAATATTAATTCGTTATTTCGAAATATTATTTCGATAAAACGAAATAATATTTTGTTTAAACGAATTATTATTTCGAAAAAACGAAATAATATTTCGTTTAAACGAATTATTATTTCGAAAAAACGAAATAAAATAAGTATGGAGCATGTCAGTTAACGGGCTCCGTACTTTACAGTTACAAGTATCACATGTAGAAAAAAAAGGGGGTTAAGTTCTTACATCATTTTTAGTTTCTGAACAATGCTTTCCATACAGTTAGATGATAATTGACAACAATCTGAACTTCTCCTGTCCCGGAAATGAATTCGTGATTATCTGCTTCGAGGTAGTGAACGCATTCCGATACTGGAGAAAAACATTTGAATACATAAGAAAATACAAAAGACGTGCCGATTTACAAACTCACTGCAACTATATGCAAGGATGTGAGTTATATATGTCTCTACTGTAAGCTACCAACAAGAAATGATTGACATGTCATAGCGATTAGTGTCACGTGATGAAATATCATCATTTCTTGTTACAAGTCCAAAACATTATAGAATTTCTTTAAGCGAAGTGACAGCAATCTGACACATTAGTTTTCTAGTTATATTTGAGGACAATATTAATTTCGACCGTATCAATAGACTCGTGTTCAAATGTTAGTCGAAAGCTCAAATATGTGCGCGAAAACTGATTCTTCACCAACAGCCGTCACATAGACTAAAAACGATCAGTGTCAGAACACAAGAGATATGACGTCACGTTTCGTTTGATGATACCACAGACCGAAAAACTTCTGTCTCTAAAATGATAAATTAATTTCATTTCTTTATATTGAATATGGTCATTATAGAGACAGGACTGAGGGTGTTCATAAAAATGCTGGAACATGGAACATAGATGCGGTGAATTAAGCTAACACCCACCCACCCCGCTCATTTTATAGACAGAACGGAGGGTGTTTATAAAAATGCTGGAACATGGAACATAGATGCGGTGAATTAAGCAAAACTGACAGTTATTTTCCTGCTTCTAGTCTCCACAAGGTACACGCTCTTAGATAAGCAGTTTTTCTGTTTGGATAAGGCTTGAAACAAAAATCTCTCAATCATATGATTTAACGATAAAATTCGTTGTTGCAAATTAAACATACACCCATGTTATTGCACACTTTCTGGGTACCTAACCATCCCAAGTGTTCACTATGGGACCCCCGTGTCATCACACATATTTTCCTATAGCTCAGGTATTGAATTTACCTTCGCCTTCTGCCACGTTGACCTTGTGATCGTGGATAGGCAACAGTTATCACCATGGTAACCATCGTGGATAGGCAACAGTTATCACCATAGTAACCAAACTTTCAGAAAATGTGAAAATAAAACTATCTTCATTTTCATCATGGTACTCCTAGCCTCCAGGAAAGGTGAAGTTGCACGTTTTATGAGAAAAATAGCACAAATGTTCATTGTTTAAATAAACCACACTTTGTGATGACATTAGAAAAGTTTATCAATTAATCGCCATAAGCACGTAAAACTCCCAGTTCACGATTTGGAATTAAATTATTTCTGAATTTTAAGTTATTCTGTCGAAAGTTCTAAAACTTACCATGCATCAAAAAAAGTTACGATGCTCAGGGTTTTTTTTAAAATATGGTATGTGTAAATTATAAATCTAATACAAAGTCTTTCTAAATACTACGTCGCTTTTAATATTCAATCACACCCAAAATGTCATCGTCCAACGATCCCAAAATGTAAACTTCCGTCTAAGTCCTGGAATGCTTCTAGCATTCAATGAACAGGACTGGAACCGCCTACGCAAATGTGACGTCCGTATATAAGTATCTCTTATTGTTCTGGGTTATTCCAGTCTCTAGCATGCCAATAGCACCAAAACTTTCATTTTTCGCCCACACACGACATGTTGTTGGCAAAATCCCTGAAAAACAACGGTTTCACGATACAATGTTTTGTTGAATACTACCCATAACCGCAAAACGTTTTGAAGAAGTGCATCGATAATACATATACACACAAAAAATGAGTGTCCATTTTCAAAAAATATTTTTGGGGAAAATATATATATATATATATAAAGGTATGTTTATACAGACCAATGCCAAACATTCCCTTGACACCTATCATCGGCTTTGGCACCGAAATCTATAAAACGCACACGCTTGCCTGAAAATAGTATGAATTTTCACAAAACGCACAGGTGAGATCAGAAGTTTCATACCGTGAAGAACGCTATAAGGTCATGGAGTACATTCGACTCTAATACAGACAACACGCCTTCCTACACGAGTTTCGAAAATTGCCTTCAAAACCCAAACGAATCTTTTTTTAAAGTACCGGTGATCGAAAGTTAAATATCATACTTACCAGTCTCCGTAATAATTGCTTTAACAGATAATATGATAAATGATTATATTATCAACTCTCAAAATTATGCACCTGGTTATTCCAATGAAAATGCTCACCATTTCTTTTTTATATGCCATTAGATTTAATGGTTAAAGGTTACAGATGTTCCGAAAAATTCATAGAGTTTTGCCCCTAATTTTAGAGAAATTATTATTTGGTAATGAAGATCACTCGAGTGTGGACAATACAGAGTTATCTATACATGTCCAACACTTCATATCGAGTGACTTGAACACGGTCTTGTGTCTCCTCCCCACCAATCCTCTTTAATTTAAAGTGTTGGGGGATGGATATAGGAATCCCCTTGTCTGTCTGTCAGATTATGAAATTCAGTATCAAAACACTGGTAACTGGTATCCAAGGATCGATTTGATCATATCATATGATTTAACAAGTAAAATGTGATAAAGACGAGCTACCGCAGATATTTGTCAACATATTTAAAACATATAATGATATTTTCTGGTAGCTTGACGGACTTAATAAATCTTTTTTTTATGTTTAAGGTTTACCATTCATATTTTACCACATAATGTCATTGACTACATATTGCATTTTGTCAAAAAGATAATTCTTCAAATTTTGTACATTTTTGTGAAAGTTTGTTTTCCTTTCTCTTTCTTATTTAAAAAGAAATCTTCATTTTTAAGACCACATACAATATTCTTAAAGTTTTTTGCTATCGGAATGTTCAGTATGTAAATCAGTTTCTAGTGTGCCCTGATGTAGTTATATCCACTATGTCCCTGTTGTAACAGCATAACAAACGTCCTTGCATTAAGTATATTTGAAATGTAAGTATTCAATTTTTCATTGGAAACTAGAGTTCTTTCTAAGTGCTTGTACTTTCAAACTTCTTCTACAAATAGCTCCTTATGTACCATGATGAGATTTTTTGTCATATATATTATAGGCAGACGACAAGAGTCTGGTTGAGTGCGATGTCGTAGATGATCAGCGTTTGATCAACCAAGAATAGAAACAACCCAAATTATCGTACAGGAAATCATTTCATTGGAGCCCTTCATCAGAGAGAATCATGTCGTCTTCTTGATACGTAACGTAAGAAAACTGAAAAGGTTACAGCTCTATAAATTAATCTTATCAAATATATAAATAGATTATCCAGTAAACCTGTAGTGTACGGTCGTCTGTTACTTTCGCTTTCCATAGCCGCAGCACGAGTATCACTTCGCGTGATTCTATATTTCATTGAATTTACCCAGGTATAATGTTATCAGATTTCACGCATATCATTTGACATTAAATCTACGCCTTAACTAACACTTATAAGTTTCAATTGATATGTTGAAAAAACGACCAGAAGCGATCAATGTAAACTAACAATTAAGACGAAGGATTTGGATGTGAATATAGAGGCCCAAAGGCCTGAGTTCAGGAACGATTAAGTAAGACTAAGAAAGTAAGTTCCGTTAAGTATTTGTATGTAACAGGAAGGAGTAAGAGCCTGCCATCGCTGGGGTATGAACTAGCATCCCTTCGGTCTCTAACATAACACTCTACCGCCCGACTAAAGGGGAAATCCCTGTAGCCAAGGCTCGTAACGCTACCTGCACTCTGAATGTATGCACTACTCCCTCATTCATAAATTCTTTGACCAAAAAGACAACAACAACCTAAACTCAATATCTTCAAGGAAGCAATCACAATCTCCCATAACTTATACCAATGAATACCAGTCATTCTGTACCATGATCGAGACCGATCAGTACCAGTCGTTACCAATTACCAGCCGAGTTGTTACATACTGCTGTATATCCAAATTTTGGCAAGGAGAGATATAAAAGTGACAAGCTTCTTTTGAGACACTGATCATGTATTCTATGTATCCTTCAACTCTGTTTAAAAATCAGACCATCAAAACTTCAAAAGTTTTTGTTGTTCATTTTCTGTTTACCTGACATTGCTGTTTAGTGGTTTGGTATTACATCAGAGTTCCAGTCAAATATTTAAAAGGTTTCATATTATACTGTTATTTGGTTGATTAGTTGTGAAAGAAACCCTTCCCACTTCTTTGATGGTGAATACCACCTGCTTGTCATTATTCAGTACAAAAAACCCATTAATAAGCAACAAACTCTGTTCACTCATAAAATGTGAAATGATAACAAAACAATGTAACAAGGAAATGACAAAATCTAGCTCATCATTTTTTGAAGATGGCCGAGAAAAGAAGGAGTGCCAGTTAGGGCCTTCTGGTGGCCATGACGAATACTTTTTATTTTTTGTTCATTGAAAATTTGAGATCAGGCAGTAATGACATGACATTAATCTAAGGTCAGCTCAAGGCTGTTCAGTTGTTATAGGGGTACGAGTGGGGGATCAAATTCATAATTATTGCAATAATTATCAAACTAAAATATTTTTTTTAGTTTTTTTCTCTTAAATGTCATTTGATGATATAATTCAAAACCTTCATTAGAAAAAATGACCAAAAAATATGCCATTGTTGAAAAGTAGGTCATGGTAATTAAGTGCCACTTTATCTAAATTTTAAGTCCTTTTGCAACCTTTGATAGTCAAGTACTAGATAAGTCTCTTCTAGGAAACACAAAACACTCTATCCAAGATGGAGAAGCCCGGATGCTGAAACAGCATAGGTCATCAGGTCGATCGTCCCAGTCTGATAACAGTCCTTGAAGGTGGCCAGGCGTCTGTAAATGTTGGCGTGTTTCTTATTCCGGGGTTGAATGGTGCCTCCTGCATCTCTCTGAATCCGGCTGATGTCATTCATGTTCTGTATGTCCTTAAGCATCTGGATAATTGTGTAGATGTTGGGGTGGGCATGCAGTACCTTCTTCTTCAGTTTTACGGCCAAGCTTCAAGATTGTTGGTAGTCCGGGGTCCCTCTGTTTGGCTACAACTCTGACTGGGTCTGAGGCGTTGTGGTGTGGATTTCTTCTAAAGTTAGCTGGTATGTTGTCTACTGTCGAGAGCGATGCTGAACAGCCTGAGGTTGAACATCTCCAGAATGTCCTGTTGTGGTTCGAATCTGTATGTAGATGAATCCATTATGCAAACTTAACGTTGATATGAGCTTTAGCCATCCTGTACTTGTATCAAACCACACAAATAATAATATCACTCAAATTAAACACACTTTACACTAAGCTGAACAAAGTACAAGATTGACTAATATATGTGTGACAAAAGTTTAGTAATAAATTAAGCAACGAGATATTGATGCTTCAAAGCGCAGATTGAAATTTGATGGTTCTTCAAAATGTACTGAGCTTTTATACATTTCCCATTGAACAGCTTGGGATTGGAACAGTTTTAGCAAATATATTTGATTGGTTTATTTTACAGTTATTCACATTTTTCTGAACAGTTATCAGAACTTGATTATCTGATTTACCTGTACAAGTTACCTGTACAACAATTCTGCACCAGACTGTAACTCACTGTCATAACAACCGACCTCCTATGTAAACATGTTGTCACAGGCAGAGCTGGTGTTCAGGGAATACTCCCTTGTTCAGTCAAATACTGTATTTGTCATTAAAGTTATTGTTGTTTTGAAAGTGAAATCTTGAACATAACAGAAAGGTATATAGTATAAGTTGATACTTCTTGGTACATACTTGGTACATACTTGGATATTTGTTTGCATATCACACTCTTACTTAATACCTTTTTTTTTAATTTTTCAGATAATTGAGACACTCCACACTCAAGCATACAATGAATTTGTCAAGATTTTAGTCAAGCTTGAAACATGATTCAGGATATTGAAACAAGTCACTTTGAAGATCTAAAAAAGTTGGCACAGTTACTAAAGACCGCTATAGAAATAGGAGATACAGAATTAGCCTTGAAATATACAGAACATTTGGCTGCAAGTAAGATCGCTTGTAAAGTGAAGGTTCTGTCCCGGTTAAGGACTTCAGGAGATGAGGAATTCAGGTAAATACTCATTGTGCATTATATATTAGGTCAAACATTGTTATATGCTTCTATTTTTAGCTTATTTGTGCGAAGGGCAAGTGGGCTTATGTCATGGGGGCTACATCCGTCTTTCTGTGGTCCATCCATTTAAAAGGTGTCATTTCAACACCTCCCAATTTTTTCCTTCAACCAACATCTTCTCAACCAAAAGGACGAGTGTACTGATATTGAGCCAGTAGCATGCTGGATTAAAGGGGTACAGAAATTTTTAAAATGATTGACCTTGACCCATTTTCAAGATTTCAGGGGTCACATATATTGAAATACTTAAATGACTCCTTCTGAATAACCAAAAGGCTCAGGATGCTGGTATTTGGTCCGTAGCATGCTGGGATGAAGGGTTACCTAGTTTGTTCAAATAAATAGCCTTAACTCACTTTCGAGGTTACAGAAATCAAATGTGCATAAAACTTAAAAGAAAGGGTCTTCATAACCAAAAGGCCGATGATACTGATTTTTGGCTCACTAGGTCTGAAGGACTGGTTTTTGGGAAACGGAATCAAGTTTGTTTAAATATTGGTTCCTGGTCCCAAGGGGCCAGAGGTAGAGGGCCTAAAAGGGGAAAATTTGCAAGCTGTTAAAATCTTATTCATCCTGCAGGAATTAATGGATATTGCCCAAACTTGGTCTGAAGCATTCTTGGGGAAAGGGAAATCAATCTCATATAAACATTAGGTCTCAGCCCCCTTTGGCAGAAGGGGCGGGGCTCAATAGGGGAAATAGAGTAAATTCTTTAAAATCCTACTCTTCCTTTAGGAATGAATGGATATTGCCAAATTTGGTCTGAAGCACTCTTTGCTGAAGTGGAGTTATTCTTGTAAGGTCTTGGCTCCCTGGGGCAGAGGGGATGGATATCAGTATGGGAAAGAGTGTAAGTCTGAGGGGCGGACCCAATATGGAAATTCAATGAATTTCTTTAAAATCTATGTCATTCTTCAGGAATTGCAGGATATTGTTCAAAATTGGTGTGAAGCATGCTTGGGTGAAGGAAAATCAGTCTTGTATAAAGAGTGGGTCTCAGCCCCCTGGGGATCGATCAGAAAAAAAAAATCGGTCAACAGGTGGCCATCTTGGACTAGGAAAGAGTGTTATCGTCATTTCTTGAGAAATAAATGATGGATATATCTCATATTTGCTATAAAGGTTCCCCTTGGGCTGATCAGAAAAAAAGTATAGTAATACAATAAATGTAACAAAGTGAGAACCTCTAAGATGGTGTGTGTACTTAATATTTATGTAGCTTATTTGTACTATAGATGTGATTTTTTCTGGCTTAGGCTTTGCTTTAATTTTACTTGATTTTAATTCTGTAATAAGCCCATCGATCAAACCTATAAATACAACTAAAAAGGGGTGGGCTTATTACAGGACAAGGCTTAATTACAAGACACTAAAATAGCATCATTTTTCTTTTCTGTTGATACTACCATGCTTAAACTAATAATAATTAGGCTTATTGTAGAAGCTCTTGAGACGTGCTTATTACAGGATCAAGAAATTTGTCAGCATTTCTACTGAATCTTCAAGAGATGTGGGTAGATTTATTACTAGATATGGGCTTATTTGAGGATACAAAATGTATTTTCCATAAGCAGGGTTCATTATCAGAACAAAAGATTGTTCTTAAGATATTGTGTATAATTTCATGGTTACAACAAATCATCTCCCAAATAAGGTAAAACAAAAACCTTCTTTTGCAGCATCAAGGTCCATGTTGAAGACATGGATAATAGTGGAGGGACTATCTCCCTTATGGTCAGACTAGCAGACACCATCCTTGACCTGAAGAATAAGGTAGGAGTTCAAACTTTTTGTACCACAATTTGTACTTAGACATTTGATCATTACAGATCACAACTTGTCATTTTTTATTTATTTTTAGGTCATCTGACCCGTAGGGTCGAGATGACCTATAGCCATCGTGCTTCGTCCGTCGTTGTCCGCCGTGCGACGTCCGCCGTGCGTGGTCCGTAAACTTTTCATTCAAAAAACTTCTTCTCAAATACTAGAAGGCCTAGGGGCTAATACTTGGCCACTTTCAAGGTCACAGGGGTCAAATATGTTAAAATATACAAATGACTTCTTCTCATTAAGCAAAAGTCCAAGAGTGCTGATATTGGGCCTGTAGGATGCTTGGAGGAAAGGCTACAAAGTTTGTTCAAATGAATGACCTCGACCCACTTTCAAGGTCACAGGGGTCAAATATGATGAAAATTTTAAACAACTTCTTCTCAACAACCAAAAGGTTCAGAATGCTGATATTGGGTCTGTAGCATGCTGGGATGAAGGGCTACCAAGTTTGTTCAAATGAATGACCTCGACCCACTTTCAAGGTCACAGGGGTCAAATATGTTGAAATTTTCAAACAACTTCTTCTCAACAACCAAAAGGCTCAGACTGATATTTCTGTAGCATGGGATGAAGGGCTACCAAGTTTGGTTGACCCACTTTCAAGGTCACAGGGGTCAAATATGTTAAAATATACAAACAACTTCTCTTCAAGAAAGTCCAAGAGTGCTGATATTGGGTCTGTAGCATGCTGGGAAAAGGCTCAGAGTGCTGATATTGACCCACTTTCAAGGTAGGATGCAATAAGCAAAAGGCTCAGAGTGCTGATATTGGACCGTTAGGATGCTGGGAGGAAGGGCTACCAAGTTTATTCAAATGAATAAAGCCCACTGTTTTAACGGCAGACTCACTGTTGGCTTGCTTTTTGTCAGATGACCATTAAGGCCCATGGGCCTCTTGTTTATTTAGATATTTTGATAGTTTTTTGGGCGCCGTAAATTGTTTGAGTTGTAAGTATCCAACATTCACCAAATTTGGTTGTTTTCTGAAAAGTATACATAATCCAAAAACAAAACTTTGTCAGAGTCACATAGGATTGACAGTTCATGTGACCTTAACCACATCAATATACAATCTTGGGGCAGGTCACATAATTACATATATACTAAGATTGTACAAAAGACACACAAGTGAATAGCACCTTTCATAACTTAGAGTTCGGTACAGTAGAACCAAACAATGAATTAAGCTGCATCATACAGCTGTTTCGTCCTTCTAGGACTCATCAGTGGTTTTAATTTTTGAAGCCTCGTAAATAGACTGCTAGATATTGGAGGTAACTGTATAAAGATTTCTCAAGAAAAGTGTAAGGATGATGATGAGTATGATGATGATGATGATGATGATGATGATGATGATGATGATGATGATGATGATGATGATAGTAATATAAAAATCATTACATATATGTGTGCATGAATGTATGAAAATGTACGCATGGACGAGAGTATGTTTCATGTTATTATGTATTATGTAAAATATCTTGCAAAAATAAAATAAATGTATAAAAAAAAAAAAAGAAGAGATTTTGAAGCCTAGGAGGCGACTAAGGAAAATTCAAAGAAATAGAAAGAAAAGTCAAAATCTAGATGGGGAGGTGCAGCAGCCCCATAATAAGATAAAATTTGTAATTTTTATACATCAGATAATTTTAGAAAAGGGTCAGGTACATACGCTACTTTTCAAGTGAATTAAAGTGTGGCAAGCAAGTAACGGCAAACCCGAGGAACTTAAAGTCCACCAGCTGGGTCTACCACCTGGGTCTACCACCTGCTATCTTAAAGATTGTACAAAAGACACACAAGTAGATAGCACCATGTATAGATACTAAGGTATCTTTACATCTTAAGTAGAACCTGGTTATTTCGAAATCCTCCGAGAATGAAAAAAATACTTCAGATTAACTGTTGTAAGCTTTTTCTATCACCCAGGCCTATCACCTGTTAATGATGAAACAAAGCATATAAAGACATTCTTTCTACAATTTCATAATATTTCATTAGAATCCAGAAATCAGGGTGAATTTAACTTGTATGGATGGGTAGGGCTGCCATTTGTTCCTTTATCAGATTTATGGTTTTTGTAAAGAACAATTTGTTCATGACGTTGGGTGCACAGGTGCAGTACCTTAATTACTGGTGAATTCTTTTCTACAGAACAAAGCTGCCAAATATTTTAGAAACTGTGACTTTCTGTTCAGTTTGCAGGATTAATACAAATTTTACTGTCAAAAAACAGGTAGTATTCCCCAAGTGGTATGTTTTTCCCTCTGAATATAAACAAATTCCCCATCAGGTAAATAGACTGAAAACTTAAGAACTATTTTGCCAAAATAGGAAAAGATTTCCCCAAATCAGAGCTAATAAGTATGTTTTTACTTAAACAATTTCAAATCATGCCATTATGAAGAAATCTCAATCTCCCCTCAACATTGTCAAATTTCATGAAAGTAATTTTGATGTATTTCTTACCTTTCTGAATTCTGATCAAAGGGACTGTCCAGAATTTCTCCATTCCCCCTTTTTCCAAAACTGGTAATGCTCTCCAAATTCTACAGAAACTCATGAGCATAGTGAGGATTTATTTGACTTCCATCTTAAAAAGAATGTGTTTCAACATATTACTCTAGATATTTGTGGTATTGTGGTTCAGAGGACACGACAACTTTGATTACATTACAAGAATTAAAACTAACATTACCGTTATATTTATGTTTTACTAATAAGTAAAGCAGACAGACTTTGCAGACAGATAATATTTTACTAATAATTAAAGCAGACAGACTTTGCAGACAGATAATATTTTACTAATAATTAAAGCAGACAGACTTTGCAGAAAGAGAATATTTTACTAATAATTAAAGCAGACAGACTTTGCAAACAGAGAATATTTTACTAATAATTAAAGCAGACAGACTTTGCAAACAGAGAATATTTTACTAATAATTAAAGCAGACAGACTTTGCAAACAGAGAATATTTTACTAATAATTAAAGCAGACAGACTTTGCAGACAGAGAATAATTTATTTGGAGGAATTTTTAAGGGAATTATTATTTAATTTGTTTGTTCTAGTCTAGAAAGTTCAGCAGAGCTCTGGCTTTAGAATAGGTAGTATATTACTATACACTCTGTTGAGGCTGGCGGTTATGGAAGTATGAATGACACTGAGGAGACATACAAAACATGACACAACTCTGAGAATTCTGGACCTGTAGTTTCGAAGTACACCCTGCAATGATATCTACACATATATAATTACACACTGACAATTCACACTATAAATACATACAGTAAGCCTCGTGTCAGTTCAAATAGGTCGGTAGTTCAAATAGGTCGGTAATTTGAATAGGTCTGTAGTTCAAATAGGTTGGTTGTTCAATAGGTTGCTAGTTCAAATAGGTTGGTAGTTCAAATAGGTTGGTTGTTCAAATAGGTTGGTAGTTCGAATAGGTTAGTAGTTCGAATAGGTTGATAGTTCAAATAGGTTGGTAGTTCAAATAGGTTGGTTGTTCAAATAGGTTGGTAGTTCGAATAGGTTGGTAGTTCAAATAGGTTGGTAGTTTGAATAGGTTGGTAGTTCGAATAGGTTGATAGTTCAAATAGGTTGGTAGTTCAAATAGGTTGGTTGTTCAAATAGGTTGGTAGTTCGAATAGGTTGGTAGTTCAAATAGGTTGGTAGTTTGAATAGGTTGGTAGTTTGAACACATGATTTTTCTGTCTGATGATAGTTCAGACCCTTTCTTGTCTGTTTCACTTACATTTCGAATTATTTGAACATATCATAAGATACATGTCTTGCTATTGATAAAGGCAATGGTGTCACAATAATCACTCAATGTTGTCAGTCACTATTCACATCAAGGTTAAACACTATGGGTAGCAGGCTGTAGGCGACCATCGAAAGCAATGTAAAGCATCAAATTATACACATACATGTCATTGCAATATTGATGTGTAGTGTGATTTATATCCTATCTTGCCGTTACATTCTGTGCACACCAGCTTACACATCTCAAGGCCCCAACTCTGTATTACAAACTAAGCAATCAGTAAGTTACAGACCACAAGATGTTGGCATGTGTTTTGTCAAAGAAAATCATTGTTTCACTTCACATTTTGATAAGGTAATCATGTCAAGACTGTCTCAATAGCTGTAAGATTTATAGAGATTTTAACATTAATCCGTAGTCATATTAAGTCTAAATCCACGCTCCGCATATTGATGGATCAATGCTGACTTCCGCCAATACACAAGCAGAATTGTGCTTTTTACTGGCTGGTTTCTTCGTCACGGTATCCATAGTTACGAAGATCAGAATGAAACCTGTGATTTCTTAGCAGTCTATTCACATGTATTGCAGTACAGGAATTGTTTTAAAAGATGATAATTTTTTATTCATTATTTGATAAGTGTTTATATAATTTGCTGATTGAAACAAGCAGATTTGATAAATCACACATATAACATATGAAATCGTGTTGCTAACTACTATAAACCTTGCTAAAATGGACCATTTCTATATCTGCACAAATAGAGTTATAAAATAATGGCTCCTGTTTGCAGCAGATAGCATCAGTCAAGCACAGATGTCATGTGAAATTAGAAATGAAATGTATTAAAGAATAACTGGATTAGCTATTGTGATGACAACTTCAAAAATGAATCATGTATATGCATGTATAATATCTATTTAAGATAAGCAAATCTTGACATAATAAATCTACATACAAATTAGTTGACCTGGTTAGCTCACCTGGGCCAAAGGGCCAAGTGAGCTTATGCCATAGTGCGGCGTCTGTCCGTCGTCCGTCCATTGTCTGTTCATCCTGCGTCCGTCAACTTTTCATTTTAACAACTTCTTCTGAAATACCGAAAGGCGTAGAGTTATCATATTTGGTTGGAAGTTTCCTTTGATGAAGCCCAACAAAGTTTGCGAAAAAAATA